AAAGAGGATATGTGTCTCTGTTTCTTTTTTCATGCATACATGTGTGTAGCCATATGCTAATGCTGGTCTGGCTCTGTTTCTCTATCTCTCTGCGGGACTCAGTTCTGGGGTCTTTGTGATATAATCAGCATAATTCTTTTGACAAATACACATGGTTATTCTTAATTAGTATCACACACTGTCCCTTTGACTTTACTTTGCCTCTCTACCTGAACATCAGAACACACATAAAAGGCAATGTTGTGCACATACATTACAGCTTTAGGGATCCAGTAGTCAGAGTAGGAAAACAAACTTGCAGATGTTCACTTGTTAGTATACATAGACTTATGGGTCCAAAATTGTTGCTTTATTATTTCAACACATCATATTCCTAGAAGCTATGTCTGCTAAGGATTTTTGTGCAGAAGTGCACAGTGTCCAGTGAATTTAGAATGAGGAAAAAAGATTGAATAGTTTTCTTTATTGTACTCGCTGCTCAAAATTGTGTTGAGGACTTTAATGTATAAATTAGCAAGACCTCTTCCTGTCTCATCTTCTCTGTCCAAATCACTCTTCTTTTCTCTTCCTCTTTCTTGTTTACACTCATCGTTACCTTCTTTCTCTTCGCTCCTTGCTCCTCTCTGCTGCATTTTGTATGATTAACGGATGACTTTGATCATCAGGGCACATATGCATGCAGTGAATCCCACTGAATTTAAGTTGACAAGAACCCTTTCCTTTCATATCTTACTCTGCAGCTCCTAATGTTATCTTCATAAGCTGACCATGTCTTTTTCTCTAAAAAAAAAAAAAAGGCCTAATAGAACAAATAACAGCTTTTATGTTTTCTTTTTTCTACAGCTTTAGTGGCCAAAGTAGTCAAAACATGGAAACAAAATTGTGTGCCATTGTGATTGTTAAACCGTTGATTGGTAAAACTGAGCTGGTTCCAGCTACAGCAGTTTTACAACTGTGTGAGTATCACATTAGAAACACTCAAATAAAAAAATCCTTTCTTAATATATTTAACTTTTATAAAAGCAGATAATCTGAAGATTATCAGAAGTCTTATTTCTACTAGTCTCAATGAAATTTATCTGGAATCATCTTGCTAGGGAAAAAATGTTGTGTATGTACTGGTGCATGGTAGTAAATCACAAACTCAAAGTTATAAATGTTAAGATTTTTTTATCTTAGTTTATTGTGGTTGTATTGGTTACACACTTATGGGGATAAGTAGGAGAGTAACCCAGAAGGGTTCACAGAGGAAGTTGAAGGAAAAAATTTCTAAAAATATAAGTGTCATAATGTGCAAAAGGACTCCCACACATTGTCTTACTTATGGCATGTAGGCATTAAATTTGCCTAAAGAAGGTCAAGTTCCAAAACAGTGCAGATAAATGTCTTTTAATGCAAGATGGACAGTGTGTGGGAGTCCTTTTATAAATTTGGTTCCTTTTTCACCCGTCACATTATATAGATGTGCGAAGTGCGCTATTAAAAAAGAAGTGTAAAAGAATTAGATTAACCACAGCCCTCTGATTGTGAAACAAATCTAATTTATGAATTTCAGGTAGATTAACATGTTGTGATTGCACCACATACTTTACATTGCATGAACATACTTTAAGCAGTTATGTTTTAAAAACCTTTATTCTTTTTTTTTGTTTTTTTTTACCAAAACTTACCTCCTAATTAGAATCTTTATTCATCATAATTAACAAAGGTAAATTAATTAACTCTTGTCACTGTGCATCAATAATCAATAATTTGTTATATGTATCTGTGTATCATGTGAAGAGACTCGCAATTCAGTCAAAACTTACCCAATATTGCATTGGGATAATGCATAACTGATTTTGTTTCTTTTTTTCTCACTGCAACATCTGTCTAAGATGTTTAATGCTCAGTTTTATCTAGATGAGTTACGTAAAGGTGAGGAATAATATGTATAGCTCATATTGAGGTAATGTCAAAATCCTCATCAAATACTGTAAAATGTGATGCAGGCAAAAAAATACAAAAACTTGGAGCTTAATAATGTAAATCTTGTATATCAAATCAGAATTTACAGATGTAAGGTTGCCTTTCCAGTGTTTAATCTGGGTTTATCCAAATATATATATATATAAAAAAAAAGTTTTATTTCCATTAATATTTTTATATTTTTGTTTGTATATCTTACCAAGAAATTCACTAAATCCCTAAAATGTTCACCATTTTTTTGTTCTTACTATGAACGTATGTTTGTGAGCGTGTGTTTCAGTGTAATCGTTATTGTGGTAGTTGTTAATGCCTTTAGATAGTTGTGTATTTCAGCAGCATTTATTAACATTCTGCTCACCTGTTTGTGTGTGTGTGTGTGTGTGTGTGTGTGTGTGAATTTCACGGTCAGACCTTAATTGTTGTGTGTGTGTTGCAGCGAGCAGCCTTTTAATGTGGTGTGTTTCAGTGATAAAGTGTTTGAATGTATTGCCATCTAGAGGCATGTAGCAGAGTCTCCACGCTCCTATAAAATCTGCCAGCGCCAGATGCTGCTATTGACAATGTGCATATGTTAACCGCTTTATAGGCCACATGCCTCACATATTTCACTGGCTTTTAAGGTAGAGAGATCTCTCATTCTGGCTCACTTAATCTGTCTTTCTCTTTTGCCACATCTATCTTTTTCTCTCTAGCATTGGCCTCCTCCACTCCTCCATTACTTCGCTGAGATTCTCCTTCACTGTCTAACTTCCTTTTTTATTTGCTTCATCAGTTATTAACTAACCTACATCTCACTTTTTCATATCAGTCTCTCCTAAACCCCTTCCATGTGTTGCCTTACTAAAATGTAAATTTTTACCATGTTTTTTGAACTGCCTCCACCCCTTTGTCTTTTCTCTTTCCCCCACTCTCTCTCGCCGCACATTGTCATTGTGGTCTTTCCTCCCTCTTTTAGTGAGAAGTGCTGTGATTTGCAGGAGGATTTAGCTTGTGTCTAGGGGGTTATTAATCCTGTTTTACTGTGAATGAAAAATGTGTTGGCTTCCAGACATGAATATAGTTAGTACATGCATTCTGGTTGTTGTTCAGACAGTTCTGCCTTGGTGCCACGCCACGGTGATTTTGGGGGGATTTCCTTTGGTTCTGTGAAAATGGTGAGCCTTTTTGATCCTGCTGCAGTTGCATGGAAGTGCGTTAGCAGTTAATCTCTTTACATATGCTTAATTATGTGCAAGCAAAACTTGATCTGCGGACTCAACACTTGAAAGAAGCATACCCTCCTGTGTTATGCATTCACACAAATGTGGAGATATCACGCTCATAGCTGCTTCAGAGCTCCCAGTTATAATCAACACAAAGACTGGGTATAAATGCTACATCCAGGAGCCTCGTGCTCCCAAACTTCCTCGTCATCGCACGCCAGGGCCTTTTGAAACAACAGTGTGCCTCTTATCAATTAGTAAATGGTGTTTTCACTGTATCACGCACACATACACACTTTTCCTGCATCTGCCAGGGTGTTGGGCCGGGTCCCACTGCCTAAAGCTACTGGCACACACCCTTGTTTAGTATGCGTTTGTTTAGATGATATGAAATGGTGCATGTGCGACATAAATACTTAATCTGGAGGCTTTGAAATCACCCACCAGGGACAGACATTTCCTGCTACGTTTCTCGCTGTCTCTGTGTCTGGCATGGGTTTCTCACTTGACCGTGTCAGAGCCTGGATGCTGAAACATTGATATTATAAATCCCATGTTATGACATCTTAGTTTCCATTGTTCCTTTCATTCCCCTTTTGATGGTTGATGCTCTGGTTTTATTCAGACAGGATTTGATTGTGTAACTAATTTCCTCTGGCTGGCTGTCATGTTGGCATTTGACCCACTTCACCATCAGCTTTTCAGTATTGTCTTTTGACGCTTGCTCAGTCATTTTGGTCTTAAGGCCAGCTTTTCATTTATTCCATTTGTAACGAAAAGAGCTATTTAAAGAATAACTTTTTTTTATATCACCATAGACATTTGAAAATGGTGAGTTGATTGCAGTTTGGCTGTGTGTTATAACTTCATAAACCAAAGAAAATGTTAGTATCCATTGGGAAGTGCATGATTGGTTAAATGTTAAATGATATTTTACTCAATAATGTCAAGTTTGAAAAATGAACAGAAAAAAATATGTATTTAAAGTGGCGGCCTAGTGGTTAGGGCATTGTGCTTGGAATCTACAGTTTCTAAGTTCAAGCCCCAGTCCCACAGACTGCCACTCTGGGTCTCTGAGCAAAGATCCTTAACTCCACTCTGCTCCCCATGCATCGCACAATGACAGCCCACTGCTCCCTAAGGAGATGGGTTAAACGCACAGTTCATTTCGTTGCACTGTACTTGTGACAGTTTAATGACAATAAAAGCTGAAAAAAAAGACCCTTCTTACATCCCCTCACCTTAAAATTCAATATTGCTTTCTTACACATAAACAGCAGCAGAAACTGCAGGGACAAAAAAGAACTTTGACTTAGACAAACTTTGTAATTTTGTACACACAGAGTGTGTGAAAAACAAAAATTCGTTCAGTATAGCTCTCAAGAAATAACTATTTCTAAAGTGCAGCAGCGATAAAATGTAAACATAAGCTTTTGGTTACACATTATTGTACACTATCTCTTACTGGGCATGTTTCTACAGCATTTAGGGATAGTAGGCTGAGAAATACACTTTTATTAGGATGTGTTACTAATAGTACCGAAAGTAGTCTGTTCACTGAGTATATCAGTTAGTAAAATCCCATGTTTTCACATTTGGAACTAAAGTGCAAGTCGTCCTTCTCAGACTGAAGTTTTGGTTAAAGTAGAGCCTAAATTGCTCCCAGCATCTGTTGATGTCTGTTACTGTCTTCACTTCAGTTAGTTCAGTGATTTTTGACATCATTCTACTCTAAGTTTTCGTGCTTTATAGCTTCATAGTTAACCAAAGCTGTCTAATTGGCCCATGAGTTTGAGAATTCTGGTTCTTAACATGTTTTCTATCTTTCAGGGTTCAGTGTTGGAGGCATCAGTCTTTGGTCTTGACCCATACAGTCAGTACAGTCTCTGTGTGGAAGCTGTGAATCGGGCAGGTACTTTGGAAAATGAAAAAAATGAAATTTGAAATGTGCTATGAATATACCCTTAGTGAGTCTGATTGTTTGGTTCCGCTTCAGGTTCTGTTTCCAGTCCATGGGTGGAGGTCATGACCTTGGAGGCTTCCCCAGCAGGTCTGGGAAACATTACAATAGAGCAGAAGGAGGAGGGTAGAGCTTTGCTGCTCAGCTGGGAGGAGCCACGTTCTCCAAATGGAGTCATCACGGTACTAATCTTGGGGTGTCATGATGTATCACACTTTTGATAGTGGAACAACTTTATCTGAAAGCAAACAATAATGAAATACATAATTAAATGTATTTCCATTTGCAGTGTGACAACATTTTTGTTGAAATAAATAAGACAAAAACGTATAGCAATAACAATTGACAGATAATACTTACTAAAAGTGTTATTATTTATGGAAGTATATACCTTGGATTTAGTCGTAGTTAAGTCTTATACTATATGAGCATAATCCGGGCTATTCAAAGAGTTTTTTTTAAACGTTATATTTAAGAAAATGTTCCTAACCCTAACCCATAAAAGGTCTGTATTTAAGATGCTTCAATGGGGTTGAAGTGTTTTTAGGCCCTCATCAATTGCAAAGTCTCATGGCTTAGTGATTGTGTATGACTGTTTCCATTTGTCAGCGTCTTAGGCAAAATAAATAAATAATCATTCTTAGTTTGGGGTTAAGGCAGGTGATACTGTATTAGTTCCACTGTATAGTTCATTATAGCTGTTATTTTTGACATCTCTATATAATCTGCAAGCAGTTTAACAATATAGCAACAGGTAAACAGTTAAAAAGGAAGTTAATTTTTCTAGTTTCCTTTAAGTCCCATCTGCACAGCCTCTTTGACTATTTTCTTTCTCATATTCATTTCTCCAGATGTATAATTTGTACAGTGAGGGGAACCTGGAGTTCAGTGGGTTATCACGGAGTTTCCTGTTTCGTCGTTTGGAGCCATGGACTGTTTACTCTCTGACTCTTGAAGCCTGTACCTCGGCAGGATGCACGCACAGCCCTCCTCAGCACATCACCACAGCGGCTGCACCACCTGCATTGCAGCTGCCCCCTAAGCCTCTTTCTGTTGGCTCTGACCATGTGTCCTTTACTTGGGAGCCTCCCTCACAACCCAATGGGCCAATTGGAGAATATTCTCTGCTTTGGAGGAGACTGAAAGAGAGCGGGACATCGCAAATAAATGAAGAAGATACCGATGGGGGAAAGGTAGGGGAAATACTATAGGGATCACTCCAATCAATTTAAACTGCATGAAAGAATATATTAAGGCTTGGATTGTACTCATATAGTCGTTACAGATACAGTTCCACCCTTTAAACATAGTTTTATTTAGTTTATTTGTAACAAAACTTAAATTCTTGACTTAAGTACCCACCTCTATCATCCTTCATGCCTCCCACAGTTGCTCTTCCCAGAAATATCCCCTCAGCGAACCGAATCCCTCTCCTATACCGTGACCGGTTTGCGTCCCTGGACCCAATATGAGTTTAGCATCTGTACTCACAACCCAGCCGGACACACCTGCAGCTCCTGGGTAACTGTTACAACAAGACAAGCCCCTCCTCGTGGCCTCACCGCTCCAAGAGTGAGACACGTCCATGGCCGACCCAGTGAGCTGGTGATATCCTGGACTCCTCCTTTGGAGCCAAATGGGGTTATAAAGTCCTACAGGATACAGAGAAATAATGTCAGCTTCTCATTCAGTTTTGACCCGACTGTCTTGACCTACACAGATGAAGACCTGCATCCATTCTCAACTTACAGGTATTTGTGTCTTTCATTTCTATTAATTTCTGATCACTCATCTGCTTAAAAGGTAATTTAGCAAATAAGCACAAAACAAGGGAGTTTTGATTCATTTCTTTTATTTCCTAATAGCTATTCAGTGACAGCCTGCACTTCTGAGGGATGTACAACCAGCCCCTGGACTAACATCACAACGCTAGAGGCCCCACCTGAGATGGTAGATCCCCCCACAATGGATGCCATAACTTCTGATATTATAAACATTTCATGGAGTAAACCGCTGATGCACAACGGAGAGGTGACAGAATATATCCTGAAAATGAACAACAAAGAGGCCTATCGTGGGAGAGACTTTGGTACAGTGCTGTCAAATCTGCAGCCGCATTCGTCCTATCAGCTGGTTCTGTTGGCTTGTACCAGAGGTGGCTGCACTACCAGCAATACGACAACCGTTGTTACTAAGGAAGCTCCCCCAACACATCTGGCAGTCCCAACTCTTAAGGTGGTTTTTATCTCTAATGTGGCGTTAAAACTGTTTTTTCAGTTTGTGGTAAATAAAATACAGTTTCAGTTTTTAAAACCTTAGCAGTAACATTAAAAATCAAAATCAGTAAAACAAGCATAGCGGTCAGTAGGTTTGCTTTTTGTACAACATAAACAACTATCTAAGTTCACTTAATGTCACCAACAAGTAGTTTGTTTACACACTGAAGTCTCTACCTTGTTTAAAGTGTTTTCCTTTAACTATTTATCAAAAGGTTACGGGGCCAGAGTCCGTTGAGATCACCTGGAGACCCCCCGATCATCCTAATGGGATCATCACTGGGTATGAGCTCTGCAGAGATGGTGAAGTTATCTACGTTGGCACAGACACCCACTATCACGACTTCACTCTCCTGCCAAGCATAGAGTACAGCTATGTTGTCAGGGCCAACAACAGCAGAGGTGCTGTAAGCAGTGAGGTAGCCACAGCAAAAACTCATCCATCAGTCCCATCTGGTGTGGCTCTCCCAACGCTAACATCACTGGAGGCAACCCGGGTTGGTTGATCTTTCTAAACAGACCTGAGTCAAGAGCTCTAGAAGTTGTTATTGAGAAGTTAGTAAGCTCTTATTTTCTATCTTTTTGTCACCAGGTTAGAGTAGAGTGGCAGACTCCAGCTCGACCTAATGGAGAAATAGTGAGCTACGCCGTGTATCTGAGAGATCCTGTCCAGCTCAACATCACCAGTGCTATCTTTACTCCAGAAGATAGTTCCTTTTATGACAAGCAAATCATATTGCATCGACTGAGTCCTTACCATAGGTAAGTCTGATTCTCTCTCTGATTTTTCCACTTTCAAAAACAGAAAAACATACTTCCAATTCGAACTAAGATGTAATCTTACTTTTGTATAAAGGTTCACCTCCACATAGAGTGCTAATTATGTTTTTGTGTGTAATGTGCAGTGTTACTGAAACTGCAGTAATATGTTTAAAAACCTGTTTATGTGATGATTAGATTTAAAAAAAAAAAAAAAACATGCAATTAAATAAAAAAGAAAAACACAATGATTTAACATAAATATCATGTATGATTTCGGAAAAAAACAAAACAGAAAATTAACAGCCACCAGAGAATGTGTGCCATTGTGAAGTGCAAATCTCAGACTTGTGCCTAGAGGGATTTTTATTTTCATCCTTTAATGTTCCGTGATTGGCTCCATACAAAATCCAGCTATGTCTTATGTTTTTAATTAGGGACTACTTTTTTTTGGAATAGTATGGATCAAACAGGTGTTGTGAGCTGTTTAGATTGAAATCTTCCTCTTGAGTCTGACAGTTACTCATTTTCTGCCACAGAGGCTTAAGATCGAGGAGCCGACAAAGTCAGCTTTTCAATGTTTTATCATTGATATTTAATAGTTTAAATGTAACTTTTATTAGTTTGACTTTTTGTTTAAATTTAACTTTTGTTTTTATGTAAGATGGACTTTAAAATATATCCATAATTACTATTGTTGTTTTAATTGTTACCATTATGACCGCCAACACCTTGGCTTAGAACGTCATCTTCCTTTCATAATCATTCTCCAACTGCCTGTAGCATATGCAATTTGGTCATTTTTGGGTTGAACCAGATCGCTTTGCTCTCCCCAGTGTAAACTTTGTGGTCTGTTTTCCCACCTTAGTGGAGGCTACTCCACTCTGCCATGCAGGGAAGTTCTCTCGTAGGATTTTCTTCATTCGGTTTTTTATCATGTTTTATCATGCCACCTTCATGATCTTGGGCTCTGGCTGTTATAGTTCATTGCAAGAGGCCTTACTTGTTAGAGTACAATTTATATCGCTCCAGAGCCCAACTTCTGTCCACAAATAATATTTGAAATCAATTTCTAAAAGGCGGAGGACTACAGAATGGGTAGGGGTGTTTAAAGGTGGGCAGCGTCTCTGCTGTGATTGACATTGGAACACAGCAGCACAAACATAGCGAACAAAACAGTTCCTGTGATGATTGGTTCGCAACAGAGCAGTTGGATCTCTCCCCACTGTCTTCACCAGAGACAGAGGCAATTGGAAAAAAGGACAGTACTTTTAATCTAAATTCTAATTAATTTACAGTTTTTTATCAGTCCTAAAGCAAACCACAACAGCCTAGCATGGAGCTGCTGTTGTCAGTTCTTCCAGGTTAACAATGAGCATAAATAAGATGCAGCAACCTCTTTTCAATCTGAAGAGGGTGTCAAACAGATGGTTTTAGGCACAGAAGCAGGATTTTAACAAATGTCCAGTAAATTGTCAGAATAATGATGGATATGTAGACAGTTTTGCAGCAAACATGTAGGAGTGAGTAAAAATTTAAGCTCAGCAGTTCTACCATGTTTTACAACCAAAAAAATATTTTTTCGCAAACAAGGTAGATCAGAGTTTTAATGCCTAAAGAAAAATCTCATAAAAGCCAGGTTAAATCACATAACCTGTCTTTATGAAGTTGCTCTTAAAGCTACAGTGTGTAATAATTACAGGCATATAAAGTCAGAAATTTAATATATTATACATAACTATGTTATTTATCATCACCTATGAGCTCAGCCTTTTAACCATAATATTTGCGTTGCCTTAGAATTCGTTATTTATAATTACATAGGAGCGGGTCTCGCAGCCATGGAGGCTGACATCTTTGCGCTACGGCAAGCGCAGAGGCAACAAACTAGCGATTGCGAGATCTCCCATGACGCTCAAAAATAACTACGGCAAGTTGAGAGAGATTAACTGAGACGGTACTGAACAGTAGATGGCAGTATTATGCCTGAGAAGCGTTTAGTCTGCCTGAAACCAAAGAAGAAGAAGAAGCAGGTATACTGCGCCTCAGTAACAAGAAAGGTGAACAAGGCGGCAGGCGTGAGTGACTTTGCAAACTGTTTGGCACTGTGTGGCCAAACATCAGACGAATGGAGGATCATGCCTACTCTGTATCACAACGAAAAGCGGCGGACACCGAACCCCCGTCATCTAAGAAGCGGAAACACGACGAGAATAAACGCAAGCGTGACAAGAAACGGCAAAAAACACGGATCAACATTGGCACGGCATTTACACGATGGAAGTCACTGATGGAGGAAAAAGGTTTTCAAAGTGACGCTCAAGTTGCCAGTTTTCTCTTGGACAGGTAATTAATCCTACACACACAATTGTCTAATATCACTGCAGTTTTTGGAGTACAGGATGCTCAGACCTGTCTAAAACAATAACATGCTGCGTGATGATGCTGTTACTCTCCAGTATACTTATTCAGCAACGTCCCTGACGTTTCACAGGTAATGATTCAGTAATTTTCTGTAAAATAATTTTCTGGATATATACCTCGGTTACTTCTCTCCGGCTCCTTTGGAGATCTTCAAGCCTTTCCTCCTCTGCTCTCACCCCGCTGGCTCCCCTCTCTCGCCTGGCCCTAGCTGCACGGCCTCCCTGCCTTCGCCCTCGTCCTCTCCCTCTCCCTCGCGTTGTAACCCCCGTGCCACCAAAATGACTTGGACTCTGTAAACGGGGGATATATATTCTTCCAGCGAACACAATCTCGCTGTTAAACTAATGACTACAATTACTTCGTCTGTTTATATCACCATGCAAAGCAGCTCACCAAGACGTCACAACGATGTAGAAAAAATAACGGGTATATTTATTATCTTAAGTCTACATGAAATCTATACCCTACACAGACTAATGAAATACTATCTGTAAAATTATCTATGTAAACAAACCTCATCACTTGAGAGGGTAGGTGATGTGGACGTCGTAGAAGAAATTTTGTCCCGTAACGCTCGCCGTACTGTTGGGGGGGAGAAGCGGTGGGGGGGAGATGTTCATGTTGCTGCGGTCTGTAGTCTGACCGCTAGATGTCGCTGAAAATTACACACTGTAGCTTTAAGCCTTTTAAAATAAAAAAATTATGGATGAATCAGTTTTCCATTTTCTTTATCTTCATTTAGGTTTGTGATTTTATTTCACAAGATGTGGAAAAGTTTTAGTAGTATGAAAACATTTATAAGACATTATTAAATTAAAGGCTGAAAAAAAAAAAAATTTGTGATTATTTGATTTATTTATTTATTTTGTCCAAAGAAGTATTTTTATTACTTTTTTATATCCCTGTATTTATTCTTAATCCTAATTTTTTATCTGTGTAGGTATGAAGTGAGGGTAGAAGCCTGCACAGTGCTGGGCTGTTCTTCTAGTGATTGGTCCTCAGTATGCACGCTGGAGGCTCCCCCTGCTGGTCAGCCAGCACCACTCTTAGATATCACAACTGACCCTCAGTCCAGCCTGCAGACAAGCTTTCTTCTCACTTGGTCCTCCCCAGCTCTGTCGAATGGTAGGATCCTACACTATGAGATACACCGCAGACAAGACGCCTTGGAGACAGACAAGCCGGGTACAGCAACATCTGTTTATAAGAATGTCTCCACATCATTCAAAGACAGTGGACTTCAGCCTTACACGACATACAAATACCAGGTAAAAAGAAAGGTGCATTTTAAAGGATTATTCAATAAAATAAAAACACATGAACCTAAATCAGCACTAAACACCATGAAGAAAGAATGTTCTCTGTTTATATGCATAAGGTGCAACTTGATTAGTGTCCTTAGTTATTTTGACTCAGTTGTCAGGTAGCAGTTGGTTTGTGTTCTTCTGGCTCGAGCATAAAGTGAAATAAGGAATCGAATTAATTAATAAAACCTAAGATTTCAAATCCAGTCTTCCGCAGTAACCTTAAACAGTTCCTTGCTAAATTTCACCATTAGCCTCATTTGAAGACAAGACTAATGGTACTAAAGCACCAGAGGATACGCAATAATATTTTTCTAAACATCTTGTCTGAAGTAAAATAACATCCTGCTGCAGCACCATCCCTACCAGCACCCATTATCCCCAACAATCACAGACACACAAGCTCACATTCACATAACTAATCAGACAGGTGTTAAATGGAGCAGTCCATAATCATGCTGTTGTGCTTGTGCATTGGCCCACTAATTGACAGGTTAGCCCTTTGGAAGCAACAATAACATTAGCATTCCTGCCTGTCAGACGTATGAGCCGAGGCCAGTGAACGGATGTAATTGATTGAGTTTGCCTGATTGTGGTGCCGTCTTTATTTACGAGACTTCTAATTTATGACATGAGGACGGAGGGAAGGAGGAGCTTTGGGAGATGACGAGCGGGCAACGGAGCCATTAATCACTGGGCCCTCTGAACACCCCACTTCCTGATTACCAGGCAGCCAATTGAATTAACTGTTATCCTGCTTGGTAACAGAGCTTGTATTGGAAAGACCTTTTAATGGTGACCGCTACATGTCCCTGGAGAATTCAGCAGTGGAGGGGGGACTGAGGTGGAGGGACAGCATGGTTTGTGTGAGGTGGCGATAAGCATAGGTATACAGTTGTACTCTGTTATATTGAGTGAATTATTTCCCCAAAAGTTATTCTCCTACTGGCTGATTATTCTCAGTCACTTTGTGATTTTTTTCTGTTTTCCTTACATTATCCATCTGTTCGCTCATCCATCCACCTGTTAATATTCTGTGTGCATATCTGGGTACTGCACTTTCTCCCTATGTGTTACAAGCATACACAAGGACGAGTCAGTCTAGTTTAGCACACCACGGCCAATAGAGAGAAATCATATTAGGCTAATTACACTGGGTCATAAGCTCCTATTGACAGCTTTATGCGTGCTTTTAATTACTGCCCACTTTCACACAACTTAGCCCCTTCACCCCAAGTAGATGCACCCGCCAAGTTACTGTGTCGGCCTATCAGAGCACTAAAACCCAGCCTGCTGTTCGCCGTCCAATAAAAATGCTCAAATCCTGCTTGGTAACGTACTGAAGTCGTTTGTTGCCATGGCGGCTCTTTTGCTGCCGTGGCAGCTAACAGGATATATTTTTATTTTGTGTCTAACAAGCCGAATCATGGCCCAATAGGAGGCAAGAAGACAAGAGTGTAGAGAAGGCTGTAAAAAGTTTGTAGATGATATAAGGACGAAGGCATGAGTTGTACCTTTTTAACACTGGATCAAGGGCGAGGTGATGTGATCCGACTTTAAATTTGAACATTTACTCCCTTTTCTGACTATGTGGCACAAACTTTTTATTATCACTCAAAGCCATACGTCATGCTGTGGTCTTAACTTTGTTGCTATGGAAAGAAAGAACATAGATGTTGCTGGGCAACATTGTATTCTTCAGCAATTTATCATTTTTGGCCAATCAAACCATTTAATAAACTATTGTAATGTTTTTATAGAGCAATGGAAAGGTTCAGATTAGTGCATTTGTAAGTCCAGCCTTAGTTGCTATCGCTGGAAATAGATATTTGCATTTGTACCTACCCAATTTATTGGTTTTACATAAGGCAGGATATATTGTCTGATTTGAACATTTCTTTGATCTGGTTATGTGCTTAAGGTTGAAACTGCTGCTTCAGCAAAACAACAATGGCCACATTTCAAACGAAAACACAAAGTGGAGAACAGAAGAATGATGAACTGAATTCATTTATTGTAAGCTGAGTTCTATCCTTTCATACACAACAATGATCCATCATATCAGCTCTTCATTGAGGTGTGTGCATTGCCATTCCTTGAAGCTTGGACGTTTTTTTCTCCTCCTGCTTGTATCTTGACATCTTCTGATCCATCCCTTCCTCCTTCCAGTCTCCACTCTCTCCATCTTCTCCTCTTCTTTCCCCTCTCCCTCCTCAGTCCATCTGTGCTGTCACTTAGATCAATCAGTCTGATTGATTACGGCCTAATTGACTATTATTGAGGTTAATTCAATTCTTAACACACATGCAAGTATATGCATACACTTACAAACCTTGCCGTCATAGCCACAAACAACAAACCACGCACACAGGCACACACTTTCAACACTAAAGCTTAGAGCCATCCATCTGCCTTCTGCACTACTTCTGACAGGCTACAGATGACTTACACATGCAAATCTCCACCCCGCCTGACCCTGCGCTGTGTACACCCTCTAATTATACCCAACACAAGCACACAAATAAGATTACTGTGTATGTGTGTGAATAACTCCTTGATGAAGGTGAAAAGTAATTGTCATGCAGATATGTTAGTATTGGGTTGCATGGTGAAAAGGTTTTGCTCGTGGTGTTGATGGTAGTTTTGATGGATTGTCAAGTGAATTGACTCGTACTCATTTGTTGGTCAAGTGGATATTGGTTAATTAAGAGAAGCCTTGCTCAGTCAGACTTCATGAAATGCATTTAAAATGCTGCCGACAGGGTGGGGGTAGTTTGTTGAGATTATTCTTAAAGGTGTGCTTTGATCACTTTAGTGGATGAATTTTTTGGTATGTGGCCAACAGGTGTGGGCTGTAAACTCAGCTGGTAACACCTCCAGCCCATGGGTCAGTGGGAGGACTGGACCTGCTCCGCCTCAGGGTGTGGGCCCACCTATTGTCTTGGATGTTTCATCAACTTCAGCTGTCGTGGACATCCTCCCCCCAGCTAAACCCAACGGGATTGTAAGCCTCTTCAGAGTGTTTTCCGAGGACCAGGACAACCTAACTCTGGTAAAATGATGCCAATGAATAAAACCACACACTTACAAAAAACACATTTACAACTGAATCTATTAGCTGTTTTTTGTTGTTTTCAATATTTCTCTTGGTCAAACAATGCTTTGATTTCTTTTTCTTTAAAATATGAGCAAACAAGGTATTTTTATCCTGCTGCTTTTCTTTTCTTGCAGCTATCAGAGGGAACATCCCATCAGCAGACACTCCATGGTTTACGTCCTTACACTCAGTACTGGGTGGGAGTTGAGGCTTGCACCTGTTATCAGGTAGTTATTGCTGTTAATTGTACTTGGGCAGGTTAGATCTTTATCAATTACAATATATATATTTTAAAATTTATTATAACTACATCTTAAAGGCTTAGATTAAGCTCATATATCAGGTGATTACTCAGGTGAGTAATGCCTGTCTAGTGTTAAGATATGTTAGTTTTGATGAATATGACAATATTCAATAAAAAAAAAAATCATCTTTTTTTTTGTTTCAATGAATTAGATTATTATATAAAATAGGGCCTGCTAAAAATATTATGAAGCATATGCATTCAACACTACAGGGCACTCCTGAGGAAGCTCAGTTTGCTTTGGTTGTGACCTTCTGCTCTTCTGCGCTGTTGGGTTTCTCATGTCACATCTTTCTCATAATGGATATCTGTGTTGTTTATATCAGGATGGTTTGCTGCAGGCACAGTACTACAGTATTAGTACTTCTAGCACTTTGGCTGATGCCAAGTCCTGCTGAAAAATGAAATTAGTGTCTCCATAAAGCTAGTCAATAGAGGAGAGCGTGAAGAGCCCTGGTGTTTCCTGGTAGATGGTTGTGCTGAGTTTGGACTTACACACAGTAGACCAACGCAAGCAGATGACAAGGCTCCACAAATCCTTCGCAGCTGTGGAAACCGACAGAACTCAAGCCATTTCAGATATCCCCATTGCAGTTGACCCTTGTTTGAAAATGTCTTCCTTCCTCTCAACTGTCCAATGATACTCTTGCACTTGAAGAACCAGCTTCTTTAGCAATGACTTTTTGTGGTTTATCCTGTGGATGAACCTTATCTTTGGGAAGGGGTTACTGATTCTGCTGGAAAGCTATCAATGCAGCAGTGTCCCTCGTTTTTTCTTGTGAAATATTAAAATCTGTAAATCTAATTTTGAATTTTCTTTATCTCTAAGCCATGATCTTAAAAGTTAAAGGGGAACACCGTTTTTTTTTTCTACATTTGGCCCTTGATTTTATGTTATTACATCATGTTCTACTCACCCATATGAGTTTTGTGTCATTTGGAGCTGTTCTGAAGATATTCCATTAGGTTATATCCAAGTAACGTCTTCCGATGGGCAACGACTTGAAGGCACAAACTAAACTGCTCATAATTTATTCTTTATGGTACGCCAGCATTCAGACCATGTAGGCGAATCACTGTCCCCCAGACATCCGAGGTTATATTTTTTATATTTATATTTTTTTTAAACAGAGTATTTTTGAACTGTGACACAAAATTAGATGACTCTGTTTTAAATGTTTGTTAGTGTTGTAGCCGGGGTCCAGTGATACAGCTTCACACCCTTGCTGCTCCGCCAGCCGACCAGCGTCCCCCTCGGCTCATCACCCTGACCTCTCGCTCGGTTCAGATGGAGTGGGACGAGCCCATGAAACCAAATGGAGTCATTGACAGGTAAAGAAAAGTCTTGGAAAAGTAAACATCACACAGATAAGTTACAAACTTGTAATCTCACTGAGTTTCTGCCTGCTTTGGATTCCAGCTGTGAGCTTCATATCAGGTCCACCTGCCCACAGCCCCCACAGCCCATCCCTTCAGCCTGCACACAGGGACCAACAGAAATCTGCTTTTTTGGCAAACAACTGAGCTATAATGTCACAGGTAATTCCACAGATAGAATGGGTACGCATTATTTAAAACAAGTACTGTGGTCAGACCCAATTTATTACTTTAAAATTAAGTGTTATCAGAATATTATGTAGTATTCAGATCTTATTCCCAATAACATGACTATGAATTTATAAATCTAAGAATATTAGGAGCCAGGTTACATCTTTGAAAATATAGATATTAGAGTCTGAAAACCTTCGCTGAGGTAAAAATGTCTTTAACTGTCCAGGTCTCAGACCATACTATACCTACGAGCTGAGAACTGCCTGCTTCAATAACATGGGCAGCACTGCCTCCAACTGGACAACCGTCAGCACACTCAGCGAACGTAACACATTTATTCACTCCTTATTTCACAGCTAAGCTGTTAGATGAAGCCGAAAAATAATGTCTTTGACTTGTTCTTGGTGTCTCCCCTCAGCACCGCAGTACGTGTCTCCCTTCTCTGTGGACAGCAACCTGACAGTAATCTGGCTGGACTGGACCAGGACCTTTTCCCTCAACGGGTACCTGAAGGAGTTCACTGTGATGGAGAGCCAGCTCAGAGTTTACACAGGCTTCTACAGCTACCTTCACATCCCGCGCACATCACAGAAAAGTGAGGGTGCTCATCATAAGAACACACATGTTAAAATACCAGGTTTTTATAACTTAACATTTTTAGACTACAGTATTATAAATCATAACCAGATCTTTTCCACATGTATCCTGTTAGAATCAAATTCCAATAGACATGCCTGCTCTAAAGAAAAAAGCATGAAAACATAAAACAGCCTGGTTAGATAAGTGTGGACTCATACAGGTATGACATTGGCATGCCTTTGGCAGGCTTTGGTTTAAAGCGATCATCTCTTTTTCACACACAGTTCCTATGACTGGAAGTAAGATTCATTTTCTGCAGTAAGACAGCAAGAGTCCAAACATGTTTCTATCAGCCAATCACTGGAAGGAGCTGAAGATTAGACATAGATAAAACACAGCATAGATCATCAAAATACCATTAGAGACATTATAAAAGCTACTGAAGTGTTGTTTTACTTTAATATCTCTAAAGACTCACTCTATGATCCATTGAGAATAATTTAAATCACTTTTTCATGCCATTTTCTGTTAAAATGTAAATTAAAAACGAAAGTCTTCTGGTGGAATTAAAATCACTTTAAGTCTGAAACGGTGTAGGTCCCTATTTTACACAATGTATGCATAAATATGATTGCAAATTTTGGTTTGCTGAGTAGATAAAATAAATTACAGATGATAAAATTCTAAATTTTTTCAGAATTGGGTTATAGAGTACCTGTACTTTAGCTAATCTTAAAATATTTGACTGTCTGCGGTGTAAATTATATAGTGTAAACTAATTTAAAAGATTATGTTTTCACTGATAACATATTGTGTCCCGATGAAATCCTGCTTAGCAGTAATATTTTGTTTCTGATGTCTCTGTTTTTGTAGCTTTGTCGTTTCAGGTGACTTGTGTCACAGACAGCGGCAGTGCCAGCACGCCCACCATCAGATACAGCCCAGCCACAGGCCTTGGTAACATACTCAAGACCTGAACTATTCCAAACATTGAAGACAACATTAAAACTGCAATGGATATTGTACTAAATGAACCTTTTTAACTCCTCTTTCTGAACACAGGTCCTGTTGAGCCTGTTGATGGTGATAAGCAGGGTGTCAGCATTTCAGCAACACCTGTTTACTCTGAGCTGTGGTTCATTCTGCTGTTCGCACTGCTGGGTCTGTTCCTGCTTGCTTTACTGATTGGCTTACTGTTAAAAAGGTATAATAATATTAAGTGTTTATAAAATACTTATTAATATATGTATATCTATATATATTTACAATAAACATATATAAGATGGAAGAATAAGAGATAAACAGGTTTCTTTTTCACTATCTAGAGTTTTGAGGAAGAATCCATCAGCCAGAGAGCGCCCTCCACTGGTCATGCTTCAGAAGAGCAGGAAGGCCGGAGGAGACGCGTACTCGGTGAGAAGCAGAGAGAAGAGCAACTCTGAAACACAGAGGGGTTAAAAGTGCAGCTTCCTTACAGATTAGAAAGAGCAGAAAGAAGAGCAGTATACAGATGGTTCATGTAGGTCAAACCAAAGACAAACAAGAGATTCTGTAACATTAATAACTAGATAAACCCCTTTGAAAATACAGTTGCCTATCAGTACTATTGAACAAATGGTTCAAAAGGTTTGTTTCTGTAGTTCAGTTCAAACTTGAAACTCAGTTATTATACAGATTAATTGCATACAGTAAGATGTTCCAAGTATTGTTTTTTCTAGTTTGAAAAGATTTTTGCTTCCTACTAAATAACTCTGGACTTTAAGCAGCTTTGATACTGTACACCTCCACCCTTCTTCCAGAGTCTGGGACTTAGCTGTTCAAATGATAAGCAAAATTGACTTTCTTTTTTACCTTGATCTGAAATATGAGATTGAAGCACTGTGAAATAATCCAGTCATTTTCAACTTCACCCAGCTAAGATGTTATGTACCAGATATGCGTGTGTAGTGACGTAGACCACAGACTCCATCTACAGTTCACACTTTGCATCGCAGTCCTCTTAAAGCTGCTGACGTTGCTTCTGATTGTTCACCTTTTTAAACTCTGCTTAGTTCTTCCTCTCAACTTTCAATTAGTCTGTTTGGATTTAGCAATTATTTTTTAGCAAAGACCTTTGATGGCTGGTCCTCATTTTCCAGGAATTTAATGTCTGTCTACTGGACAACAGTTGACTCACAGGTCTTTCCTCTTGTTGTGTAAACCATCACATATTATGTACACATTAGAAATCATTTTAATTTTTTCTGCGTAATATTAAATTGTTCTAACAAGCTCAGCTTGGATTTAATGAGCTCTTTCCTTGTGCAGTTATAATCTGAGTTTTACTTTTTGAACTGAATTACTGGAATAAAGGAAGATTTTCAATTAAATTCTTATATTTTTATTGTTCTTTAAATGTCAAACATAAATCAGACTCACAGCTTATTTTTCTCTTTTATTTTCAGTTCAGCACTAGGTCATATTTAAATGATCAAATTACAACCATACAAGATGCTGTTTGGGACCCCTTGTTTGCCAAATTAAAATGTATGATTTCATAACTGATTAAAGGAACCATCAGTGTATTACACTGATTATATTTGGTTTATACTGCGACTTTTCTACATAAATATACTTTTTTGTGGTTATGTCTGTTAATCACATTTTTTATTATTATTTTCTTTATATCTGTTTCCACTCCAATCATGCTCTGCTCCCTCCATCTGGTCTAATCCCCAATCTTTCTCTCAGAGACCATGTCCTGAGCTGTGCTCTAAACATCTCTCCGGCTCTATGCTCCTCTTTGATCGCCCTAAAGTAAGATCACTTTCTGTCTTTTTTTCTCCCAAACCCCTAAATGTTTATCTCACTATTCCCCCTGCAGTTTGACACTGTAGCAGACTGTGTTGAGATCAGCAACATTATACTTAAAAGCTACACTGTGTACACAGAGGTATGGGAAAGTGGATTTTTGGTGGCTTACCATCCTGCGTGTGTGCTCTGTGTTTGCATCTGCATGCTTTGTTTGTGCAAGTGTGCATACCACGGCCTATCTGATGAAAACAGCGGCCGGCTTGTTGTGGTCAGTGGGAGTAAGAGATGAACAGTCTCTTGGTTTGTTTGGTTTTATAAATATACACTCTGCATGTCATAAAAATCATAATCTTGATTTCTAAGCAAATGGACAAGAGCTTTCCCTTGGATGATAACTTTTCAGCTAAAAACAAGTGTTTTAGCTGTAGCTGATGCAGAGAAACTTCTCATTTCCCAAAAAAACATTTTGGAAGACATGTACTGTGGACATGAAAAACAAGACACTGTTTCAGAAGGGTCAAATTATTGACACGAATCAAGCAAAGAAAAAACTTTCTAAAATGTTATCAAAAACTGCACAATGCAGCATTAAAAACTGGAAGGAAAGCAGGAAAAGTTCACTTTGATATCATAAACATTTGGTAAAATTAAATGTCAAATAAACACAGCAGAACTCAAAACTGTTTCATATTGAAAAAAGGGCATTCAACATGAACAAAAAGATGAATGAATTTAAGAAAACAGTGATGAGTGAAGTTAGTGGGGAGAAAAGGCCTCAGTTTTTGTTAGGAATCATAAGCATCTGGATTTCTGTGGCCTTTCTGTGGCTTTCCTGAGAGTGATGGCTTCATCAGGGTAAGAGGAGACACGCATGACGAGAAGAACCCATCATCAGGTCTGCTGTAGGAGGAACTGAAAGGCTTTGGAGTTCCTGAAGACAGGGAGGTCTTGGTGCAGGACCTGTTCTGCTGGCCAAGGATGTGCATAGTGGTCCTTCGCTCCCATCATCCCTGCAAGAACAAAACTAAATGCTTCTCTCTGGACAGAAATAAAATCTTTGTAACATGACAATAAGAAACTGCAAACATTTTAATTTCAATTTAGGAAATCTCTAAACCCTAAGGTTATATTTATAGTGTAGTTTCCCCTCATGGATCACTCTGTCATTCGAATAAAAGAGCATGACGAGGCATAATATTTCCCTTTCTCTGTTTATATTAACATTTTGATTTGAAGAAGTAACAAGTTGGGATGCATTTCGATTGTTTTCTGCCAGTGATGTATACAACTGTTCGTTTTTAAATGTGACCGATGTATTTGCTGAAAGCATGTCTAACGTGCAGTCACTCTTGCATCAACACTGTACCTCACAGGGTCTGACAGACACAAAGATTGTTGGCAGCAGTTCACGCTATAGCCCCATGTCTGTCCTGCGGGCACCCAGTCAAACTGACCTAACTCAAGCCTACTCCCAGCATTCCCTGCATCGCAGCGTCAGTCAGCTGATTGACAGGAAGTCACTGATGATGGACGAAGGATGTTGGGACAACCCAACGGGATATGATTCTGGACTGGTGAGGACTGACGTATGTTTCCTTGTTAAAGACAGAAAAAGTCCCTCTGGAGATCCAGGTTCTACTTTTACTGAGTGATTTCTATAATCTAGTTCGATTTATTTTTATCTGCTAAGACTGTAGGTTTTGTAGCATACAAGGCCATTTCAAAATATTTACGGTATACAAATTTCCTTTTGTTTGTGGGAGATTTTTTGTGATTATTGCAAACAGCCATGCAATAGAAGGCAAGAAAATAATACAGGGTGTAATATTTAGTGTTAGTATAAGGTCTGAATTAATAACATCTTTTTATAAACCGCAGTTACATATCCTTTAAGGAAGGCATCGCCACAGCTGGATTCTGTCACCATATTTGACCATCTCTGTGGTGTGTTCAGGTTGACGCCAATGATAGTTTTCAGCCATCATAACTTTTAAATAAAGATCAAACAGGTTCATTTCATTTGGATCTTATTAGAGGATGTTTCCCCTACTTGACATTGTGAACATCAGCTTCGTGTAGCTTTCTTTTAGCTGCCGGTCCACTGTTAATGAGGAAAGACTATGTTGGTAGCTTTGCATTTGTACCATACACTCACCATTTTCATCTCCTTCTGAGGCCTTCACAAAACAGCAGTCTGTATGCTTAAGTAAAAAAGTTACATCAGATCAGAGCTACGGGGGCTGAAAAAAATCAATGTCTTTATGCTTCTAGGAGTTGGTTTGTCACATAAAACCATATGGCAGAACAGCCCTTATTAGATGGTGCTTCTAAAACAGCATGGGTCTTTAAACGATGTCTGTTAGCCCATTGATGGATTGTTAGAATAGTAAAGGAGCATCCTGGCCTGTTACAAAGGAACCCTGAAATAAAATGAACCTGGTACAGAAAAAATGAATGTATGGATAAATTAAAATAATTCTTTCCATAAGTTACTATGCTGCTCTCAAACAGTGACATACTTGATAATCTTTCTGCTGTAAATAGATTTGTGATCAGAGATTTTAGTAATGTACAGTGGTGTTCTGCAACACCTAGCAGCTGTAATCTAGGATAGAATATGTTGTCAGAAAGACTAAAACTGTAATAGTCATATGGTGATCTCCACTATAAGCTGCAGTTCAGTGGTGGACAACTTGATTTCTCAGTCTTGCTGACAACATTATGTCTGTTTGCTTTCTTTCAGTATGTGGAGGAAGATGAGCTTGTGGACGCCATCAAGGCCTTGACTTCTGTGAAAAAAGAGCACACCATGTTTACCGACACTCATCTTTAGGCTGGTAACGGCAAAATACTTAAGCTGTTTGGTGTCCTGTCGTATTCCCACAATGTGTTTGACATGAAGTAGAGCAAAGCAACCTTCGCTTTAGTAGAATCAGGGACAAAACAGTACTTAGACTTCACAGTTTGACTCAGATTCTGATCGATTTTCTCTGCTTGCCAACTATTTTTACAGCATTTAAATTCCCAGTAGGATCAAAATAACCCAGCAGTAGTTCTGGTCAGTAACTCCCAACCTTTTAACTGTGCCTATTACAATATTTTAATTGACAGAACTAGAGCTTTAATAGTAGATAGACACGTGGTCTATATGCTGTTATTACTGAAGGGATTTGCCAATTATTTAAATGTTTTTATTTTTATTAACTTTTCTTAAAACACGTTGCTGGAAATTGCAGATGTGATGTCTGTTTATTGTAATGTGACCAAAAGGTCCAACCTGAGATTTTGTCCTACTGCATCTTTGTATATTTATTGCTTTTTTTTTTGTGATTTTAAATGTAAAGCTAATGGCTGATAGTCAACTCAGATCTCTGTACTTGCTGTTAATGGTTACTGACTGTTGTTTCCATGGTTTACAGATTATATCACTGCTCTGTCATTAAAGAACCTTCAGTTTCAATAAGAGAAAGGAAAACTCATGTTTAGTGTCTTCTATAGGAGTAAAAAATCACACTGATTATATCTAGAATCCACACACTAGATGTAGAAGCTGTACATATTAGAGAGCTATGTTTACTTTCATTGTAATGTTGATGGGTTATAATGATTTTTGTATACAATATTAATAACTGCTGTTATGACCAACTTAAAAAAAATGACAGTATTATTTATGACTGTATTATTTGTTATTCAAAGATATGTTGTAGATAAGTAGATTGTGTATTTTGGGTTGAATAATTAAAAAAAACATAAAAATCTATTTTTCCTTGTTTTCTTACCAAGAGGAAGCATAAAGACAGTCGTTATCCTGCTCACACAATTAAATATATGCTGGTTTAGTGTAAATAATGTTTTGAACTACCTATTGTCTTGCCAGATTTCCCTTGAAAATAAGCTTGTTAATCTCAGTGGTGAGTTTTCTTTGTTTGTTTTGTTTTTTTTACATACATATATTGCATGGATTGTATTACAAGATGTAGAAAAAGATAGAAATGGACAGATAATTATACTTTAATATTTCTTTATTACACTGTGAAGTGAAATGAAAGGATTTGAAAGCAGCAAGTCAACAAAAAGAGCACAGATGTACCAGACCGATGTTCACAGACAATAACAGAAGTCCTACAACAAAAGGTAAAACATCACTAGACAAATATCAATTCTTTATTTTCTTGAGGTGAATTTTGTCTTTTTATCAATATTTGTTTAAACAGCATGAAATCAATTATTTGCACATCATTAAAACACATATTGGTGTCTAGTGGGATGAGGGAGTGAAATAGTAGGTTAAATTGAATAATCTTTTTGCACAATAATTTATTTATTCTAAACTTGTTTCACCACAAATGAAGCAGTATTATCTAAAATGTGTGTTTCTAGCCTGTTTTTGTGTTTTCTGCTGAGTTTGTACAACACAGATGTGCCAGCAGCTGTATGGTGCCTTAGTCACCTCACATACTCAAGCCAACACCAGCGCAACTGTCTCCATCAAAACTATGCTGCCGTAATTTACTTTTGCTGCCGTGTCCCTTAAGGGGACATCTAAGCAAGTTTAAAATTAACAAACTGGCAGTAACAATCGAGGCCCCCCGCTCAAGGACGCCAATCTGACAAGGGCACTTCTGAAGCGTTCGCGGCCGCATTTACAGCTATTGTCAGTCACAGAGGGAGGGGAGAGGCTGTGAAAGGAAAGCTTGTGGAGTGATTGTAAGGGACAGTATGGCCCAGAGCTACACACACACACACACACTTATAGGGGCTTTTATTAAACTCATAAATCACGACATGACGACAGACGCCATCTAAGAGACTGTCTGATGGGAAGGTTAGTGAAATCACAGAGCTGCAGAGGAAAAATGCACATCTTTTTTTTTTTTTTGCACCAACATCTTTTCATCAACAGTGTCCAAACTGAGCAGACAACAAAACTCATCTCTAATTATTTCCTGCACTTTTCTTATTGCTAAGTTCAGCTTTAAATACATTAAAATCATCGCTAAAAATATGTTAAAGTTCCATTTTGCTTTTTTTCAGTCAAGCAATTAAAACCTGCAACTTCTTGACATTTCTGGATGATTGAATATACTGTACAGTGTGTTACAGAATAAATATGAAATGCATTTTATAAGAAATTACACAGTTTTAAGACTGGGATGAACTAAACTTCAGGTAAGCATGGGCAGGCTAACGGTGTTGAGGTTTTAAAAGGTTGAATTCCATTCAGTTTATTTATATAGCGCCAATTCACAACACGTCACCTCAAGTCACTTTACAGAGACAATTCAACCAGATCATAAAGTCAGATTGATTCAAAGTTTTCTATCCAAGGACCAATTGATTGCATCGACTCATTGACTCTTCAGCAATCCCCAACACCAAGCATGCATGAAGTGACACTGGAGAGGAAAAACTCCCTTTTAAGAGGAAGAAACCTCCATTAGAACCAGGCTCAGCGTGAGCAAGTAAGTAAGTAAACTTTATTTATATAGCACTTTTCACAGACAAAGTCACAAAGTGCTTCACATGATAACATAAAAACAACACAAGGAAAACAGATAGAATGCAATAAAAGCTATAATAAATAAGGGAATAAAACAACAGGCTATGTGCTTTGGAAGGCTAGTGAAAACGTGTGTTTTTAGCTGTTCTTTAAAGATGTCCACCGAGTCCAGAGAGCGCAGGGACAGGGGGAGTTCATTCCAAAGACGGGGTGCCACCGCTTTAAAGGACCGGTCTCCTCGGGTTTTAAAACGGGTCCGAGGAACCATAAGCAGGTTTTGACCTGAAGACCGTAGACTACGGACCGACGTATACGGCTGGATCAGACCTGTCATGTAGCCAGGCGCCTGTCCATGAAGGGCCCTGAAGGTAAGGACCAGGATTTTAAACTTTATCCTGGAGGTAACAGGAAGCCAATGTAGGTACTTCAAGAGAGGAGTTACATGGGCTGTCCTATTTGTACGGGTCAGGAGTCTTGCAGCAGAGTTCTGGACAATTTGTAGGCGACCCAGCTCCTTCTTGCTCAGACAGGTAAACAGGCTGTTACAGTAATCCAGTCTTGAAGAGACGAAGGCATGGATGATTCTCTCCAAATCATCGTGAGAGAGGATTTTCCTTACCTTGGAGATATTGCGCAGATGGAAGTAACAGTTCCTGATCAGTTGTTTTGAGTGTAGCGCAAGGGACATCCCCTCATCGAAAATCACTCCAAGATTACGCAGACTGGATTTGGCTGAGGAACATAGATCACCCAGGTGCTGTTTAATGTCAGGGATGGCACTGTCAGGAGCAATAATGAGTGTCTCAGTCTTTTCGGTATTCAGTGCGAGATAGTTGTTTAACCACTGCTGAATCCGGGACAGACAGTTTATCAGAGAGTGTAATTTGTGGACCTCTGAGGTTTTAAAGGAGCAGTACAGCTGTATGTCGTCAGCAAAAAGATGATATGCCACATCACTGTGCTGCTGGATAATCTGGCCAAGAGGGAGGATATAAAGTAAGAAGAGAAGTGGTCCCAGGACTGAGACTGAGCCCTGTGGAACACCATACTGGAGATCTCCCCGCTCAGACATCATGTCGTTGACTGCCACACTGAAGCTCCTACCAGCTAAGTAGGAAGTAAACCACTCCAAAACTGGACCTGTCATTCCCACCCAATCCCGCAGCCGGTTTATCAAGATGGAATGGTCGACCGTATCAAAGGCTGCAGACAGGTCTAACAGGACCAGTACCGTACAGCTTCCGGAGTCTGCAGACATCATGATGTCACTAGACACTTTCAGCAGGGCTGTTTCAGTAGAGTGGTGTTTCCGAAACCCTGACTGAAACTTGTCGTAGATGTTATGGGTCTGAAGGAAGGATGTCAGTTGGTTAGCTACCACTTTTTCCAGTATTTTACTCACAAAAGGGAGCTTAGATATTGGCCGATAGTTTTTAAGTTCTGACTGGTCCAGACTGGGCTTCTTAAGTCTTGGCTCTATTATGGCATGTTTAAAAGAGCTGGGGAACACACCAGAAGACAAGGACATATTAAACAGTCTGGTGACCCATGGTCCGACTGAGTCAAAGACATTTCCAAAAAGCTTGGAGGGAAGGACATCAAGCAAATTAGCGGTGGGGGTCATTTTAGCAGATAATTCAGCAATGTCTGCCAAGGACACTGAATTAAATGAAGACCAGGCTTGTGAGGGCAAGCAGGCTTGTGGCAGGCTTGTGAGCGGCCATCTGCCGAGGGCAGTTGAAGGAGTTACAGATTAAAAGCAGCAGAAAATTAAAAGTAAGCCACTCAACCAATAGATAAATGCTCCCACTGAGTCTGGCTCTGCTTTGAGGCCTCCATTCCTTTCCACTGTTGCCATACTGTATGCTTAACCTGATGGAGATGTTGATGCTTTAAGGTCAATCATAAAATCCAACTGACACAGTTCCCTAATAACATTTTTGATCGGATAGCAAAATGAAAAAATATTTTATTAACGAATGTTAAGTCTATATTGCCAGGATACAGAATGGTTAAATTGGCACTATATAAATAAATCCAATAGATTTAAAACTACAAACATAGCAGCATTTTTTATGTGAGCTAACATTATGATAACTGTACTTAGTGTGTTAGATTAGCTTTGCAAAAGCAGACAAAGATTTTTATTTTAAAATAAAAGTATATAGATATTAAGCATTTTTAGGACATTTTTTTTAACAAATGGAGAAACAGTAAAACTGATCAGCTACCAGGCTATCACACCAGCCCATGCCTACCATCAGGTTTTGGTAAGACCAATAATGCTCGCTTCATTAACAGGTTGTAGTGAACATTGCTGTATTTTAAACTGCAAAAGCACTCATTCAATGTCAACTATATGATCAGAAACCAGAAGTTACCTTGTATAGTAGCAAATCCTCAACTCAGTACATAAAACAATATCATTTGAAGAAGCTTAAATAAACAGATATATGCATTTTAGCTCATTAGAATCTGGCTAATATAATGTAAACATAGCCAGACAAAAGTTGATGGACAACAAACAGAAGATTCTGTAAACAAAAAACTAAACTCTAAAAACTCTCAAAATTTACTGTAATGTTAGACTGTATAGTGCAAGATAAAACATACTTAGGTCCAATATGTCATTACATCAATATAGGCCTTTTATACATGTTAGTATAAACACACAATAAAACACAAGTGCATCCTTATAAGGATTTTGTTTTGAATATGCATGTCAGATTATAGTGTATTCTAACCTATGTATGTTTTTTTTAGTAACAAATCTTAACTTAGCCACACACAACTCTGGAAATGCATCTATCACAGGATATATCTAAAGCCTTCTCAAAGCACAATTCCCAGTGATTTTCCTTGTTATGGTTTAGTTAACTGTAATCCAGTCTGCTTTAAATTGTTCATAAATTCATTAAACCCCAAGTCAGAGTGGACAGGTCCATTATGTTCCCACACAGTGATCTCCCTCTTCACAATCCTTTGGTCACTATAATTCTCTCTCAAACACAACAGGTAAATAAGGCACTACGACAGCCATCTGACACGGCGCGTATAAACACCTCTTTTTCAATTAGATTGAAGGAGTAGATGTGCAACACCTCTCATTAGGTATAAAAAAATGAAACTAATAAATGTTATTAGTGTTATTAAATGATCTTTCACAGGCACCTTGGGGGTGAATGTGGATAATCTCAAGCGGGAAAAAAGCACTTTTACTTATAAAGCATGAACTCAGATATGAGCCCTAAAAATAAGCACTGAAAAGCGGTTTACAACTAAATGCCTGCTTTCAAATAAACAGTACCTTGCAAAAGTATTCTTGTTCTCCACGATCTTATTTACATTTGGTCACATTACAAGTAAAAACAAAAATATAATCCTAATTTTTTAAGAGTCTCTTACTGGTTTGTTGTGGATGGTTTAAATAGAGCTATGGTTGTATGTTTAGTGTCCTGCTGGTTGAAGTTCAACCTTCATGTCATTCTCTTGTCCTGTAGTTTAACTGACCAAGTTTTCTGTGCCTGCTAAAAAAAAAGCATCTGGCAGAACCATGATGCCCCAACTTTGTTTCACAGTGATGACGGTGTGTTATATCCAGCTTTTGTTTTCTGTAATACGTAGTGTTTTGCATGTAGGCCAAAAATATAAATTAGAATTTACTCTGAAGCGAGTTCCCTCTTTCAAATGCTTGTTTTGTCTTCCAATCACTGTTTAAATAATAATAATAATAGCGCTAGCCTAGAAATGGATTGTCCTGACTAACAGACGAACCTCTGCACCTAGCCTAAAGCCCCTTGGCCTCCACTTTGATTCATAAGCCTCATTTACACGCAACCTCACAGCTTGGATGAGTTAACCGTGCCGAGCTCGGTTCCTTATGACCGTTTACACAACAAGCTAGCATGGTTCATTGCCTCCTATTGACGATCTAAGGTACTACTGCTCTCTAGAGGGAAACAAGCAAATCAACATGTCGGCGCCTGTAACATTCAGGAAGTTTGGTTATCATTGTAATATTTCATTGTTTGCAGAGAGTCAGGCAAAGAAGGCAGCGTTTAGTGAAATTCCTTGACAGAGTCGGCTTTTGGGAAGTGGATACGACAAACGTCTAATCGGGGCTTACAGATGCAGGAAACAACAACTGAGGTTGAGGTTCATCACACTGCTAAGTAATAGTATTTTTTTAAATGTCTTAATTTTCATGATTGTGGCGGCTGACTGTAAGGAGATCTGAGCAAGGTCTGCTCATGCACTCTTTGTTATCTGAGAACTGAGCCAGAACTGAACCAGGCCGAGCCCTACTGATGAACTAGTACCAGTTTAGTGCGGTTCGGTTGTGTCTGGCACGGTCCGGCTCAGTTTTGCGTGCCATTTACACTCAACAGTTATCTCGGTTATCGTGCTCGGGCCGATCTCGGCACGGTTTCAAAAGGGTAGTGCAAATGGGGCTATATTCTACTATCCTGGCCTCCAATGTCTTGGTGGCGTTATGGTTTTGCAATACATTTTCAGATATAGGATGAAAAGTTGTCTGAGATGTCCAAAACTTGAATTATTGGTTTATAACCTAATTCCTAATCCTGTTGTTAAATTAACTCCTGCTGTATCGCTGAGCTGTCTGGTGAGGTCCTTGTTCCTTATTATGCTGTGTGCTAACAGTTGCATTTATACTGAGAGGAAATATGTGTAGCTGGACTCTATGTGATAATTATTTGAATTCTAAAAGTCCAAATAACTTTAAAGTAATGGTATCAGAGGAAAATGGGTTTTCATTGTGTGGCTATTTCACACAAAATATGTAAATCAACTACATTGAAGTATATGTGGAAAAACCTGAAGAATACTTTTGCAAGCCACTGTGTCACTAAACTGGAATTTCTGCATTAAAATGCACTTTTCATTTGTCCTAATGTTTACATAAAGTCAAGTTACATGAATGACCAAAAAGTTCTAGTTCCAAGTATATTCCACATATAAAATCATGATCATTTGTCAAAACCTTCATCTGAGTCTAAGTTTCTTTTCTGTTTCATTGCTTCGCTGCTGCATGACACAACGAGCAGCTAAGCTTGTATTGCAAACCCGACCTGCACAATCTAACTGCTGCCCCTCAGCTGTTGCTGAATGTAAAATATTCTGGGATTCAAGTAGCTGCCGACATTCTGAGGGTAAGTCGCATGAACATCCACTGCTCCATAGCTTTAGAAGCCTTATTATTGTAATTATTGTGAGACAGGGCAAACTAGCGCAAGCTTTTTGGATTAAAAAAAACATTTCTATACATTTAATTTACTATAGATCAGGATTTTGAAAGGACATTTTTAGTTTCTTTTCAGGTATTTTTACTATATTGAATCTAATGCCTTTTTAAATTTTATTTCCTAGCCATCTACATCCCAAACTATGTTTCATTCTAACTCTCTGTTTCTAACACTGTGTAGTCTTGCTTCCCTCTTCCTGTACTAGGCCTACTGTATCTGTGACTGTGCGCTTTAGTTTGCGCCTAAAACTATTTTTTGAGATCAACGCTCTTACAAGAAGAGAGAATAGAACTGAAATCTAACATTGTAGAAATTATCAACTGACTTAAAACACAAAAAGGAGCCTGAGGCAGAAAAAAACTCCAGTTATACCGCAGATCTAGGTATAGAACACTACTGAAATGCATTCTTCCTCAGATGTTATGCTGTTTGTGCTGGAAAATTGTAGCTTCTTAATGAGCCACATCTGTAAATAAAAAAGTGATTTTCTTACATCTGATTGTGTGTTCTTCTTTAGCGTTGATGTTAGGCATTGACCTCCTACACTCACCTAAAGCTGAACCTGTAATCTGTAAAAAAAAAAAAAAAAGCTGCTTCTTTTACAGGATGCTGTCATGGCTGGAGGGATCAGCCGACGGCTTCCTCTGTCTCGGAGAGGTGGATGACGATAGTTTGGTGGGCGAAGGCGAGGCGTTTGCTGATGAGTCACTGCCACCTCCTTCAGATCCTGATGAGAGATATGGAATTGGAGGTGCCCTTTTCCGCCCTAGAAAGCCCCCCTCCAGTACTCCCCTTTTCCTCACAGCACCATCGACCTTCACTCCTTCTCCCCCTGATCCAACACCATCTCCTTCCTCTGGCTGAGGGTGCACCTTTTGCCTCATGTCCACCCCTGGGACTGGGCTGTCTGGGGGCTGCTGTGCTGATTCTTGACTCGATTCTGTTTTAGTCAGGGGGATGTTCCCAGGGTTTCGAGGAGCCCAGAGCTCCAGAACAGAGGTGCTCCTTTCACTGTCCTCGGATCCAAAGTTGGACAGGGAACGCCTGGCATCGGCGGTCTGGCTGGGTCCAGCGTTGGAAGTCTGACTCAGGCTAAAGTTTTGGAAATCTCTACAGAAGGACATACGGGGCTGTTAGAGAAGTGCCATGTTTTTATTTCTAAAAAAAAAAACAGGGTTTCTACCTCTTCCTGCTGTGTCCACAACTTACCATCTCCTCAATGACTGAACAAACTACTGCTACAACAATACATTGAAACGTCATTAAAAATGTTATTTATTTTAATAAATCCATTTAAAAAGTCAAACCTATATATAGATTCTATAACAATTACCAACTGAGTGACATATTTTAAACCTTTATGTCTTTTAATTTGGATGGTTTAAACTTAGAAATAATAGAGTCTAAAAATCCACTTTATAGAATAATTGTAATATTGAATATGACAAATATAAAAATATTTCAAAGACAAATGTTCTGTTTTGACCTTTATACTCATGAGCTAAACTACTGTAGTCCAGCAGACTGACACTCTCCACAATGAGTTATAATGCATAATCAAATAGTGATGTATAAGCAGCCATCTGTTCCTTCAGTGCTGCATACATTGGAAAAAATTAAGTATTAAAGCCACAGAGATTAGCCTAGCCTTGAGGGGATTGGAAAGCAATGCCTCCTCAAGAGTTTAAGGGAGCTTTTAAATGCACAGACAGAACATGAACTCCAACTGTGACTGTCCTTGTGTTAACTCTCATGAAGCAGAGAAGTTATCAGAAGCAGCTTAGTTCTGAAAAAAGTGTATTTCTTTCTCAGTGATCAAAAGTCCTCATTGGATTTTTTTTTTCTTCATTTCATCAGTAACAAAAGACCGCAATTCCTGAAGGAAGACTGGAAAGGCACAGAGTCAAAAGAGGTCTACCTAGAAATGTTACAGCACTTCATGCTGCCTTCTGCAGCAGGACTTAGCCTCTGCTAGAATGATTAATACTTGCTTTAATGAACATGTTATCATTGTCCTTCGTTGACCAAGAAATTGACCTCAGCTAAACACCTCAGATAATGGATATGAGGACAATAAGAGACAAACGTTCCTCTGTAGACAAACTGTGGGTCCACTATCAAAACAATTTTGGCTTTCTAATCTAATCTATCTCAGCAAGCGGATTCCCTTCATACCACATTGATGCAGTAATGCATGCAGAACCTTAAGAAGACTACATTGTGTGTCTTCATTAGCTTTAAACCATAATAATCTGATAAAGCAAATACAAACTTAAATGCATCACTCTGTTAGTAATCATTCTATGCAGGGATTCCTTCTTTGAACTAAACTACTAAAAAAAAGCTTACATATTTTGTTGGAAATAAAATATATATTCCATAAAAGTGTTAATAGATCATAAACTTGTACTCGGCTTTACTGGCACACAATATATACAGAATTTAATTGTTTAGTGTTGATCAGTGTGTAATTTTTTCTACTGTTGATCATATTAACTTCCTAAAATTGTCTAAAAGTTGAACAATCTAGATCAGGAAAGTGCAACCCAAGTCCTGAAGAGTTACAACCCTACATCTTTTAGAAGGTCTCCATCTCAAACACACATAGACCCAATGAATGGCTCATTATCAGGCATCTGAGGAGCTTGTTGACTAAATACTCATGAATTCAGCACTTTGGTTTGGAGAAGAGATGTATCTGAAAGGATAGAAGCTCCTTAGGACTGCAGGCTGCACTTGATCTTTACTGTGTGATGTTTGCCTCACCTGTAGCTGTTAAAGGATTCGGTTCGACGAGCGCGTGCCAGCAGGGGGCTCTCTCTGTAGGGCCGTACAGCTCCATAGGTTGCCTGGCTTTCAGGAATCGGTTCCTGGGCCTGTAGCTGCAGACTGGTAGAGAGACACACGGGTGAGACCAAAGACATTGGCAAACACACTCTATAATGGGGTCATGGTGCCATTTTTCAAACCTTGACATGGACTCTCTGAGGCGCGTGTGGTGCATCACTGAGGGGGCGGGGCTTATATTTGGAGTTGCACAGCGAGAGGTACTTAGGTCGCACTGGTCCAGCAGCTGTAGCAGCTCCTCCTCTGTTGGGCCACCTACATCTGCCGTACAAAAGCAAAGGATTTAGTGAATAAAAACTGTCTTCATGTCCTATAAAAAGAGAGCATCAATGTAATATTTCAGTTTTTCTCCTGCCACTTGACTATTTCCTCACCATCTTTTTTCCTCTCTTCTCCTTTGTTGGCTGTGTCCATTGCAGTGGTAAGGTCCCACATTTGAATACTCCCATTTCCATGACCGGTGAACAAAAAGCGCCGTGGTCGGGAACCCATCCGGCTGGAACCTTCGCACTCTCGAACCATGAAGCAAGTGATAGTGGTCCCATCCACTGACTGCACCTCACAGATCCTTAAACATCCCATAGATTAAAAAAATGATCATTTAAAAGTGAACTTTTAAAAATGTAACCATAGCTTTGATTGTGCCAAGCAACTAGATGTATCTGGAGGAAAGGGTACCGTTTTCCAGTTGAAGAGAGCCTTACAAAGAGTTTGTTGGTGATGGGGATGACTTTCTGGATGAAAACCTGTTGATCATCTCTCTCTCCAAACGGGCCTGTAAACAGCAGACAATTCAGCTTCTATTTAACCTTTTAGGGAAAATGACCAAAGCTGTGTCTCCATAGTATAACGCTGCCACTACCATGTGGCGTCTATTAGTACTTTTCTATTGAAGTCAATCATTAAAAATCCAAAACTTTTAACGTGTTTTCCGGTACTTTGTTCACAAATAAATGCTTTTCCGTGTTTAATTGTTTTTCCAATCACTTTTTATCTCCGCTATGTTGTAAATGAACGAAAAGATTCAACAGGAACTATTATCTGGCTGTTATAAACCAATCCTCACCTATATCATTGCCAGAGCAGTAGCTTCCATGGCTCTCCGTCTCTTCCAGGGAAAGGATCTTAAAGGAGGCCAAAGGGGTGGAGCCTGGCTGTGTGGAGATCATCCCTCTGAACCGTGTCACCGTCCACGTTCGAACATGGTTGTTGTCCGCACACACTTGCATGCACACAACATAAAAAAACAGACTTTAAATACACAAGAAGGGAACCTTCAAACCCATTTTTATTAGGGGCTGCAGACTGAGTTTGGTGGAAGCCGGAGAGAGAATCCTTTAATACCTGATACCAGATGTTTCTCAGATAACATGATCTTTGTCACTGGGCTTCTGTGCACAGTGAATGTCTGAAAGAGCTGAGGCCCTGATCCCACTGTCTCTGGGTGCTGCACAATCACTCTCACTGCACCACTGCTCGTCCCGTAGGCTATCTCTATCCAGTTCCCACTCACACCTGAGAGCAGAGTTCAAGGAGGAACAACACAAAAATTATACAGTAGAGTCTGTTACACTCAAATTTCTCTCTTTGAATTCCTAAATGCAGAAGATAAAATGTTTTTATGTATTATTATTAAGTGGTGTAGCATCAATCAAGAAAGTCTAGTGCAACAACAATCAAATGCAAACCTACTAAAACTTCTACAACATTTTCACATTTTGTCACAAGCACAGTCGTTAATGTGTCTTTATTCGTACTGTGTATGATGGACCAACACAGACACGCAAGTGACAGGAAAAGTATACGTCTTTAGCTTTTTTAACTATAAAATATCTAGTTAACATGTGGCCTACATTTGTATTTAGCCCCCCCCCCCCCCCCCCCCCTTCAGATTAGACTAAGAGGGTCTGTGCAAGTTCAAACACTTATTTCAACTTGGATTTGCATGTGTGCTTTGACTGGGCCATTCCACCAAATGCAAAAAAGAAAGGTCAGCCCACAGCATATTGCTGCCACTACCATGTGAACAGTGAGTTTAAAGTGTCAAACAAAGTGCCTGATCTTCAAAGATATAAAATACAGAGCACTGGGGGAAAAAATGCAAGTGTGATTATTAACAACAGCAAACTGCTATTGGCAGTTTGACAGTGGCTGTAAAAGAAAGATAAAGTTCTAATCCATTTAGTTGGAGGTTATGAGTATAATTACTTAAAGAATAAGAATATGAAATATATATAGAAGGAATACATATCTCAAAGTGCTACAATTAAAAGTAAAAAAATAAATAAATAAATAAAAGTTAAAATCAAAATGTAAAAGATTAGCCCCAGTCAGAATTACAGCAGATTATGCTCTAAACAGCTGGATTGAGCTCCAGCTCCTCAGAAAAAAATATAGGTGAAACAAGGTAGGCCCATGATAACTGTGCATCATATGGAGCCCAACTTTGCCACAACTTTGAGATGAATACAGAGGCTCTCTGGTGGCCAATGATTTTCCTTTATTGTTTAACATGCAACATGCATTTAGGTTCAGGCTACAGCTAATGATTATTTTAGCAAATATTAACCTATTGATTATTTATTTCCATTTTATCTAAAAAGAATTTAGGAAAAAGAAAAATGTTATTGTGTATTTTAAACCTTAATTGGAAAAGGGTTATTTTTTCTACAGTTATTTAGTCATTAGTACTTCAAGTAGGTTATTCATTTCTTTTGTTTTTGAGTTTGTGCACCTTTACTTTAGGTAAGGATTCAGTGCGATAACCAAATGAGTTTATGGTAAATTTAATAATTGATTAATAATGACTAATCTAATTAACCCTTTCAGCACTAATTCAGTCATGGGGTTTTTAGTTTTGGTTTAACTGCATATAGAATTGCTTTCCACTGGATTCATTTAGGCCAGGATGCACAGATGTGTTTACCTCTAATAATAATATTATAAAATCTTTATTTCTGACATTCCAGCTATGTTTACCTGTGCCCAGCATCTCTCTTTCATTTTTCCAATACCTGATTTGTGGCCACAATAAATCTTTTGTGTTTGAGTTTACACCTGACTTTCAAACAAACTAAATCTAGATTAAGAAACTGCCCCCATATTGGCTTCTGGGTTTGATAAATATCTCTCTGCATATAGTTTGCACCCATATATCTGTGCAGATTAGTCATTAGAATAAAATCTGCACATTTATGCAAGCACTTATGCAAAAAGTGTTTTGCACATGCTGCCTGTTAAATTGCAAATTTAAAACATGCAAACCTTCTAAAAATCAGGCCTATGGTCTTCTTCCATGCAGCTCAATAAAAAAGCAAAGAGACCACCCTACATATACCTGATTGGTATTTGGTATTTATACAGTACTTACTGGTTTTAGGCGTGAGGTACACGGACAGTGCAGTAATGGCATCGTTTGAAGGGTCGTGATAAAGCTCGGTTACCAAGAGATCATTGTCCTTCATCCTCAGAGGAAACTTTTGCATGTCTGCAAAAAAAGTCAAGATGTTATGGAATATATTAAGAATTGATAATATTTAATAACCGATAAAAGTCCATCTAAAACATCTGGACAGATATATTTAGTGAATGTTCAATCTCTGATTACTTTCAAGTTAATTCGATAAAAGTTAAGATTCATTCATCTATATCCTGTGACTGTATTCCACTAAGCTCCAATAAAACCGGTTAATTTGTACGTATGTGTTTGTACCTATATAATAGATTGAGCCATTGGTGCAGCCCAGTAGAAGGAAGGACCCTGCTGTGTCACAGCTGGTGATGGGAACTACATCTTGAACCTGATAAAACATGAAAAGTTAATACTGTCCACAATATGGCTCACATAAACTGTACAAAGAACAATTTAAGCATTCATTGTATTGTGGCACAGCTACTGTGTGACATATCCCACCTGCCAGTGTTGTGTTACGGCGTTCCACACCCCAACCTTTCCTGTGTGGCTTGTTGCCACGAGCTGGCTCCCAATAAAGAAAAGGTCGTCAACAGGAACACCAAGACTGAATATACCTATGACAGATTGAGAAGCTTTAGAGTGCATTATTTGTAGGATCAAGGTCCAGAACCTGTGCATTTTCTGTCATTTCTAAATTCTATTATATCTGCTTGCACGTATTTTTAACTTGTAAATTTTACCTATTTCATTTCCACTGCCTCCATCTTGGATGCTCCAGAGGATAATCCTGCTTCCAGAGGCGGCAGCCACCATCTTGTCCTTGTCTCCATGTGGACCGCCCACCACTTTAGCATTAAGTGCTACACGCTCAATCGTCCAGTCAAGGTAGGGAGAGGAAAACACCTGCTGCCATCCTGAAGACTCCTTTATCCTGCAGCGAAAGCATGCACAAAAATAGTGTAAACTGTTTATAGATCCTTGGTATAAAAGTATTTGTCGTGTTCCTGATGCATCATATTAATTAGGATGTATAAGCTAATTTTGTTTTATCAACTTAATTTTAAGAATTCCAAAAAAGTAAAAAAAAAAAAAAAACAATACACTGGACTTTGTTTTCAAGTTTAAAGATGTTTCACTTCGCATTCAGGAAGCTTTTTCAATTCAAAATTTCAGAATTAGCGTTGATTTCGAGGCTTTAGAGTAGACCAAAACAGAGCCTTGTTTGGCTAAGAAAACATGCAAATTGAGCCAGAAGAACGGGTCTGCTCCTTAGGAATGGGGAGTCGTTTGGTTCTTAGTTAGCCTGCAATATCCGATACTGGTCTATGCATCTGAAAAAGGGGGGAATTGTTGGCCTGGCTGAACAGGCGAGATGTTCTGGTCCCCTGTATGTGGGTGGGGGTTGCAATGATAGTGGGAAGGAATCAACTCTATCGCTGCAATGCAGCGATAGAGTTGGATAAAGGAATAGTACACCCAAAACATGATTAGCCTTCATTTTCTACTAACCCCCATGCTGAACAACACTCTGGAGTACTTTTTTGATATCTCAAATGCATCTGGAGATCTGGGAGGCTTCTTACTGTCTGCTGACATTCAAATAATGGAGGTCTATGGTGCCCGAGGCAGAAAGGTCCATAAAAGTCCACAAAAAACGTGTCAATATTCCTCCATACTGCTCGTCCAATGTATTCCAAGTGTCCTGAGTTGGTAGCGTCCATAATTTACTCGAAACAAAGTCATTTAGAATGTTTTTAGAGCATAAACAGTAGTGTATAGGATTTCCTAAAAGCGCGCGCCTGCGAGTTCACGAGCCTACGGAAACTGCGGCAGACCAAGCCAGATGAAAGTGCGCATCCAGAGTGTTGTTCACATGGGGGTGAGTAGAAAATGAAGGCTAATCATGTTTTGGGTGTACTATTCCTTTAAGGCTGGATTTTCTTTTTTATCAATGGCTTCCTCTACACCCCTTTCAAACCACCTGTCTTCTTTGTCCAAAATGTGAACATTCTGGTCCTCAAAAGAATGTCCTTTGTCCTTAAGGTGTAGATACCACCAAGACTTGTCCAGAGGAGGCTGCTCTTCTGTGTTGAGCCATATGTCTGTAGAGAGGTTGTTTGGTTTCTCAAATATAAAAATCAGAGCATTCCTCACTGCACTGAACTGCATGCACCACTCCGCTCACGCACTAGTCTCTGTTAAAGGGTCTTTTTTGGTTTGAAATGTGCTGGGATTTTGTGTTTGCAGAAAATCCTCTTGAGTTTTTCAGAGACTCCAGCAACATATGGGATGGCAATGTTTTTGCATTTAATCTTCTCACCGTTATGTTCTGCTGCGTGTGTTTTGGATTTCCTTGCTGATTTGACAAAAAAAGCCCAGTTTGGGTATCCACAGGTTTGAATAGCATCTTTGATGTGTTTCTGTTCTTTGTGCTTCCCTTCTGTTTTTGTTTGCAAAGTCTTTGGGAGTTTTCTATGTGATGTGGTGTGTTTTGCAACAGGGGGGCTAAAATATTAGTATTAAGAATAAATCTCATCCATAAATTTATTGACTCAGCAATATTTACCTTTATTTTTATACAATCTGAAGAGTAATTTTTAATAAAATACAAAATTCAGTTTCTTTGGAAATATTAGTGCAAAATAGTACACATAAATCTTCTGTTATGGCCGACTCATTTATGTGAAAGCCTGTTTTTATTCACCTCTATAGGCTGTTCAGGGTGCCACTCACAAGTATTTTGATGGAAGATTTAGTGGTAGGAAAAAGTGTGGTAGAAAAGCATCAGAGATAACCATTTGTTGAGAGGCAAAGGCTTTAAGGATGGATTGTAGGGCATGGACTGCAAATGAGTCTGAACTTTACAAACATCAAGATGAGATTTATATATTTTTTTTAAAGGGCTGAATATGACGTGCCACAAATTTTACCTGTAGCAGATGACAAAGTGTGCATAAGCTGCGACAATCCAATTGTGGTGTCCTGCTATAATAACCACTTTCCTGGGGTCCACCATGGAGTCTGCAGACACAGACAGAATACTGTTTCTGTGAGTGTGTAAATGGGTGAATGACTGGCTGTAGTGAAAAGCACTTTGGAGTCACTTGACTTAAAAAGTTTCCATATAGGTACAGGCCTTTTACCATTTACTCTTTAGAGAAAATCACTATTCTCAGAGAGTCAGCAGCAGATATTGGGTCAATATGAAACTAGGCTGCTTTCATCAGTGCTGTTAAGCACAAAAAACATATCGGGTCACATTAGCAGTAGCACTACTGCACTCTCACAAGGAGGCACAAACAAACACAAGCATAACTCTATTATGCATGCATTAAGAGCACACATGTGGACAAACTGAAAAGCTGAGGATAATAACGGATACTTTAAAAGGCAGACACAAACCAGTTTAGCATAATATAGACCCTTGGCTGATATGGCAAAATAAAATGCATTACATTTGACTGTAATGTTTTAAGCAAAAACAGAAATTGAAATGTAATTTCTCCCTCTTACCCAGTTTCTCGATGTCATCTGTTCCAGATAAAGAAGGATGAGGAAGGGGAACAACGCGAGTGAAGCCCTCCGCTCCACTCGGGCCTGGTCGCTCATCAGAAGCTGGCTTACGAGGAGGAACAGCTGTGCAAAAATAAAATAAAATTCCACTTCTCTCTTATGCTATTCAGTGAACTTAAACTCAAGATTATTCTGTGGTGCAGTCTACATTATCTTTATTTTCAGTTTATTCAGTGCCCAGTGTGGGTTTCATGTTTTTACCTGGAGGAGGCAGGTAACCATGGAAGAGAACGCTACCACATGACGATCGATCCAGTTCTTCGCACAGCAGCAGTCGCCGCACTGCACAGGTTTACACACAAACCCACATTACCACCCATAAACATTTGTTTTTTTAAATCAATGTCCAACTTGGACATTTTTGCTTTTTTTAGTTTAGAAAGAAATAGTCCATATTTCACTTTAGGTACAAACCCTGCGCTTCCAGTTTTTATTTTATTGAAGGAATGAGCTGGCTGTGCATTTCTTCTCTGTTTGATATGATTTAAAGGATATGACTGATTTTCAGAAAGGTCTGTTTCATGTGTTAACCTGGGGAAGTTCCAAACACTGAAACGGGGATGTAAAACAGCATGTATGTGGAAGTAGTTGAATGTTATGGGTTTGACATCAATTTATGACATGACACAGTATATAGTGCTTTACTTTAGGAGGGTAATTTATCAAGTCCTGTTGTAGTTTGGGCGTTCCAAAAGAAAATAACTTTAATATAGATACATACGTAAATGTATATCTATGTTTATCTCTTGCCTAGTATTCATATCCCTTGAGCAAACAAATAACATGCATTTTCCTTACACTTAACAGTACTTAACCACTATGTGTTGGTCTAACACCTACAATTCCAATAAAATCCATCTATTTCTACATACACAAGTTAATCTAATTGTGTCATTGCTTTCTGAATTTCCCTTTTGAAAGTCGATCTATCAACACACCTAAAGGAGTGATTCCATAGAACTCTGCTTCGTGTCTCAGTACGCTGATATTGACGCCTCTGCAAAGAGAAAGTAAACATAAATAGGCCAAAAATAAACAACATCCTTAAAAATGCGGTAGTCAAGCATATCTAATAAAACAGATTTGGGACTTTTACCGTAGGTCCAGTTCTTTGGTTCGGAGAAAGTTGAGAATTGGTGCAAAGGCCGTAGGGTCTCTGTCAATAAATATCTGAAAGCCACAAAATCCAATAGATAAAGATTACAGAACAATTAGAAATATAGATATTTATTAGAACTGCTCTTTACAGAATCCAGCCCATTGGTGTTACGGAAAAAACAAAAGCAAGAGACTACTTACAGCTCCAGTTTCATCCCGCAGAGTGGATATCCTCCCACTCAGTAAACTGGAATGAATAAAAAAAAGAAACACAAAGGTAACTAAACAACTACTCAACTTCAACTAATCAAAAACTCAACAACTGTAAACTGTTTATTACAACACCAAGACAACCAATCCTTACAATGCTCTGAATTCTAGATTGTTTTTAAATCTTTACGGAGTGTTTGTGTTTTACTTGGTATGAAAAACACTGAACTACAGACATCTGGGAGCAGATAGTGAGTGACAGACTGAAATGTTTTAGCGGTCACTGAGCAGGATTTTATAGCACTGCTCAGCTGTTGTAGGACTGTACTCAATGTAGTGTTTAATTTATAGCAAACATATCTCACTAGCTCAGATCTGCATCGTCTTTTTAACTGTTACCTCCATCTACACTTAAATCACTATAAAGCATTACAATAGAATAATTTAACTTGAATGAGGGGATTTAACGCAAATCATAAAAAAAAGGTTTTCATTAGGTCCACAAAACACAAAGTGCCATGTTTGACCTTAGAATCATCCTAATAATTTCCACTTAATGCATTACCAAACTTGGTACAGACATGTAGTAAAGACTGGAGCATAAATTATCAATATTGCAGAAAAAGTGTCACCATTTATTGTGCTTTTATGTGATAGACTAAAGTAGTGCCTTCATATAGCAGCCCAGTCTAAATAAAAAACATGGTGGTGGCAGCATCATGCTGTGGAATTTCTCTTTGATAGGGATAGTGAAGCTGATCAGAGTTTATAAAGGAGGCTGCAAAACAGAGCCTGGAATGACTCAGAATATAAGAGATGTTCATTTCTCTGCTTCATATAAAACCAGATCTACAGTGGAGTGATTATTATGAAAGCAGTTTATCTAAGAAAAAGAGCCCAAATTATTTAATTTACCTTGAGAAGAAAGAGTCTGGAATCCATGTCAGAGTCTGTCTGGATGTGCTGAACCTTGTAATGATAAAGACCAACCATAATTAAAGGCACCAGGCTTCTACAACATGAAGAATCAGATCTGGATATTTGTGACTGAACATTTTTTTCAATTAGACATTCTTTCTGTTGGTGGTTATTAAACTGCAAAATATGATTGAAATAAATAAGTGGAGTGTTGGCCTAGTGCTTAGAGCAGTGCGCTTGTGCTCTGAGAAGGTTGCAAGTACCTGGTTGGATACCCACAGCCTCAACTCTGGGTCCCTGAGCAAGACCCTCAACCCCCGATTGCTCCCCAGGCACTGCACAATGGCAGCCCACAGGAGCGGAGCTAGATGGGGGGTCATGGCCACCCCTGTGGCCACCCCTACCATTTTCTTCCCTCTAATACAGATTGTGGCAGCAGTAATACTCTCAGGTGGAATATTCAAAACATTTAACCCTAACATTTAACCCTAACCCTAACATTAACAAGTTCAATCATACATAAATAATTTAATTAAAAATGTACTAAATAATCAATTTATTAATGGATTGACTTTATTGATCTCTAAGTGGAGATTACTTTATGTGGATATTAGTACTTGTAATTATCAATTTTATGCAGAGTGATTATTAATAAAAGTACGTAAGTAATGACAATGGAAAAGATGTTCACCCCAGAACTCATACCTGAAAGAATTTTATCCACTAGACTTTTTATCTAGGAAGTATGGATGTTTAAATACAGTGGAATCCGCTTATAGTGTACACGGATATAGTAATCAAGTGCTTATATAGATCAAAACGCTTGTGACAGAATCATTTCTATACAAATGCTGTTTAAATAATTTGTTTATGGTAATCAAACAATCCGCTTATCGTGTTCATTTATGGGCATTTTATGAATGTAAACGTGCAAAAATAACTAATAAGTGGATCGAAAGTGATGACAGCACTCCAGTGTCAGAGCCCATGACAGATGAGGACATCATCGCGGAGGTACAGCTCTTTGGTGTGGGTACCAGTGCTGCATGCAGCGAGGATGAGGATGATGAAGAGACTGTTGTCCCTTCCAGAGCTGACATAAGAAATGCAGTTTGCATTTTAAAAACTGCTCTCCTGCATGTTCGTTTCAAAAACTTTGACCTTTTACATCATTTTGAAAAAGAAGTGAAGAGTGTTGGACAATCTGATCCAGGGAACCATGGATCAATATGTGAAGTGGTTTCTTAATGCGGCGCAGCAGATCCGCAACACAAAACAGAGGTAGGCTAGCTTTAATTTTCTGAAGCCTATGCAGTTATCTTCTATGTAACTGTTTTAAACTTGTTCAAAAAAAAAATGCACCGGCTGCACAAGGCAACCAGAGTTATGTCTGCACACAGCGCAGTATACTGTAATTAAACTTGCATGGTACTGTAATAAAATTCAGTAAATTCGGAAGCTATCTGTTTCTTTTCATTTTTCTTATTGAAAAAACCACACAAATGGCATTTAGATGATATTCAGCATAAAAAATAAGTGAAATAACAGTAAATTCAGATATAGTAATCAACCGCTTATAGTGTTCAAATTAGCTCTGGACCAACGTGATCACTATAAGCAGATTCCACTGTATATGTGTCTATTTGTTAGCAAAGGTTGTAGGAAAGTATAGTTTGTCTTTATTTAGAAAATATGGATGTCTTGCTCGTTCATTTTCCTGTTGAACAGTGTAGATTGACCCTGAGGTTCTGGCGCCTATCCGCTTTCTGCCCCCCTCAGTGTACATTGGTTATTGGCCACCCTTATTAAAATGTTCTGGCTACGCCTCTGGCAGCCCACTGCTCCCCATAGGGATGGGTTAAATACAGAGGTAACATTAATCCAATGTGAGATAAATAAATATTTATTTTTAAAACATCACACTACATTAGAAAAAAGTACAGTGTGTACAATTTAAATTATTCATATGTGTAGCAGCGGTAATGATGCTTCGATTACATAAGAATCCTGAAGATGTTCTAGGCAGAGCTAACGGTTATAACAGCGAGCTGTCAGTGGAGCTTCACCTACCTTGTCCCACCGACATTCAACTGGATGATCTCTCCCATCCCCGGGGACGAGTTGTTACCGATCGTGGCCATGATGACCGAGTCAGAGCAGGGAGTGTTTTCAGGAAAATGTCACTAAGCTGGGCAACAAATGCTAACTTGCTAACTCCCCTCTATCGATTCAGCTGATGCCCATTCTCCCCCAGCCTCGCAGCTTCTCCTCGGAGCCACCATCCGTCAAAATATCCGTTAGCTTTCACAACTGCGATAGCAGCACCGAAAACCCCCCTCATCGTGAATGCAGAAAGTCGGGCGTTTTTTTTTGTTTTTTTTTTACAAATACAGCCCCATGAGGATCCCCGTATTTTTCAGCAAGCTTGTTTGCATCACCGCTTTGTGTGAAAATCAGCTTGCGCAGAATTTTAGCAACGTGAAACAGCTGGGATGCTCGCTCACCACAGAGCAAGATAGTTCCCCCCTCAATAGCTTACCGTTTCTTTTCAACATGTAAACATTGATTATGGTACATTGAATGACCATAGAAAATAAATTTTTGTACTTAACGTAGTCGCACGGAATATAACACGGAAACAAAACTGCTGGGAACAAATATGTGTGATCGCAGAACCAATGACAGATTCTGAAAAGGAATCACATTCATCATGGAGGTGATCTATCTTTATTTTAAAACATGCATAAGATCTTTGGGAAAAATATAATTAACCCTTTTAAATAAACACGTGTAAAAAAAGACTGTGCCTCTCTATCCTATTAAATATACATATTGCTAAATCTTAAAATAAATCTTAAACTATTCTTTTTTATCTAACAGCTCTCCCACATCATGCGAATGATACGTTTATATTATAAAGAAGGAGATAAAGTTATAGATACCCCTGTCATCGCTCGAGCTGTTTATTTTTGACTGATAATTTACTAAATGTTAGTATAACAGTTTTCCATCCGTCCTGTACTAACCCTGTTAAATTATTACCCTTAGCCCCGAGCTAATTGTAGTAAACAAATAGATGAACTGGTTTAAATAGACTTTAAAATGAGCAAACAAGTTTGGTATCTGCTATTTTAGACTCTGGATACACGTTGCACATAAGAAGCAATATTCAGATGTTTCCATCGCACAGGGAGCAGCGGGTAAACAAGGCTTCGGCTTGTTCTGCACTTGGAACGTGATGTACTGGAAGCTCAGCAGCAGGCTGCGTTTTCTCTGCGCAGCCTGGCGCGCCTCACGCCCCGCCCACCCTGGATCACAGAAAGGGACTTGAGATGCTACATTTTTTTAAGGCGAACTAGCATTTCTGTTCTATACCTCTTTTTTACGTTTTTTGTCAAGATGTAACTATAATGTATTTGTAGATGTTTTGTTTTTTGTTTTTCCCCCGCTGTAATATTTTTAATATGTTACTTTTATGCGGTTTATAGGCGAAACTAAGTAAATGATGTGGCTTTCACTAGCTTATTAGCCAGGGGAAAGTTAGCAAAGTAGTGGCTGGCTGAACTTTTAGCTAACTGTGTCATAAAGGTAAGCTAAACATTTTTATAGCTCTTTTTAATGAATCAAAATGAGTAATATAAAGGAAAGAAATTCGATAACTTTAGTACACCATTTTAAAGTGATTTAATTCTTACATCTTAATCACCTGGATGGAGCATGTTAACGTTCAAACTACTCTGCTTTGTGTTCTTGTTAACAGTTTTTCTTCTCTGGGCGTTTCATCGAAGATTTAAATGACATTATATCCTTAATCAACTCAGTTCGAAGGCAGGGGATCTCCATCTCTTTATTTCCGGTCAGAATCAGGAATCTATAGAAACCAGGTCAGAATAAGGTTTGCTGTCATGTCAGAGGCAGAGGAGAAAGCTGATCCCGGTACTGATGCGAAGGCAGAGTTCACAGCAGGAAATCAGTCCCCGGGTACAACGCAGGCACAAGGCGGGACACCTGCAGCTGGGTCAGCGAAGCCTGCTGCTGCCTCAGCGACCGAGGATGAGGATGAGAGCGAAGATGAATGTGAGATCCTGGAGGAGAGTCCATGTGGCCGCTGGCAGAAACGTCGAGAAGAGGTGATCAACTGTCCTTCCCACTCACTCAGCACTTCAACATTACACAAACATTACCATTTATGTTTACACAAATATTGCTATTTATTTTTATCCACATTTCCTTCTCACTTATTTAGCAAGGCTGAGAGAGACTGAAAAAGTGATGCTATATTGTAGAAATTTACTCCCTTTTAATTGATTCATTTCAAATGGAAACGAGCTTCTATTTTGCTCAGTTTGATCATTAAGTTTTTACAATAGCAGTTTAGATTATTTACCTTCCTATATTAACTCTTTATAGGACACTCGGTCAAATCCTTTGAAAATCCACATTTCAAGCCAATAGTGTTATTGGAATCCAGAACAAGACCTTATTACCTTTGTAACATTTTGATGGCAAAAATAAGTTTTTCTATAAGAAATTCATGAAAAACAGAAGGAAATGTTTTTGGGTACAACATAACCTTAGAGGCATTAATGCTGATAGTGGCACTTATAGTTTTTTGTTTATAAACCTAAATATAATTGTTAACTAGGCTTATTAACTTTTTAGCTTGACTTTTTTAACTTTTCCATTTAGCATTTTACCTTTTCTTTTACTTTTTAATGAGCTTTTTTCTTGACTTTTTTCCTTTTCCCTTTTTAACTTTTTACCTTTTTTTTTCAACTTAATTTGCGGTACGTAATATATCATTCAAGTGTTCATCTAATTGGTCAAATGTTAAAATAAGATGCACGGCCATGTAGCATTATCTTTGCTGAATGGCTGGATATAGATCTTGTGCTTCTAGATCTCACTGAGGGACGGAGGGGACTCCATTTGTAAGGGGTATTCAAGTGATCAGAAATTGTAACTTTCACTATAAAGGGTTAATGACTATCAGTGTGAGTGTCACTAAATGTAAATATTAGCCTGCGGGATTATTCCTTGTTGAAAATGTCAGCCCTTATTTTGATTGATATGTCAAAGGCGTACCACCATGATCCGATCCAGCATTCTCATAACAGAGATGGACTGAAATCTGTGATGTCAGTGAGAGAAAAATGCTGATTTATTTATTTTTTTTTTAGAATATTGGCTGCATTATTAGAAAAAACAGTGATGAGTGTGTGTTTTTAAACTCTTCTGCTAATCTCTATCTCCTCAACATTTATTCCGAATAGTGTTTTTAATAATGTTGACCAAGCAATCTTGGATGGAAAATATCTTTGCTGTATTACTTTGAGCTTCCTGTTATCGGCTGATGTGTCTTTAAGCATCTTGTTTTCCACTGACTTAATTTTGGATACTTTAGTGATACTGAAAATAGCTTAGAGTCTTCTTTTCTCAATACAGACTTCCACAATACAGACTTCCACAATACAGACTTCCATAATAAGACATATTATGGCCAGCAAAACACATTTGAACCAATTTATGGTGGGCTCACCTGTGTGCAGAAAATATATAAAAACATTTTGTTGTTTGCAGTCTCTGGTTAGAGTCAGTAAAGTTTGTACTTGTCTTATTCCACTCAACAGCTCAGTTTTAAATCTATTTTGGATATTGGATATTTTTTACCTGTACTTCTTTTACTTCCTTATAGCTGTGATGTAAGCTCCAATTCCATTGTATTGCACTTGTGTATAAATGTTTAGTAACTGATTAATGATATTTAAAGAAATTGAAATGATTTGAGTCTCCAATATATGTAACAAACTGACAGATATGTACAAGTGAAATGCTTGGTGTTTTTGTTAAGTTTACCAAAGGAGTTTATCAATCCTTAAAGGTGTAGTGGAGGATTTTCTCAATAAAAAAAAAAAAGACCCGTCCTCTTCACGCTTAAAAAAGAAAAAGAAAAGCACATGCACAACTCTGTACCCGCTCCTGAGAGGGAACGCCTATTAAATACATTGGAGAGTGTGCACAAGTCCAATTCCCTTTTTCACGCTCTTTTTTAAAAGTTGCTGTTTGTGTTGCTCATACAACATCCAAAAGAAGTTTGTTCCACTATGTCAGACTCGCCACCTTAATGAAAAATGGGGACGAATGATTGACAAATAGGAGGATAACTTATTTTGATGATCCAACCGGGAAAAGAACATCCTCCATTATACCTTTAATGTGTCGCTCTTGTGAACCTGTATAGATTCTCAGCTGTGCTGCATCAGAGATCCTTTATCTAACAGGTATTTTCTGGTCTCCTTAATCACAGGTCAATCAGCGTAACGTCCCCGGGATAGACGCTGCATACTTAGCGATGGACACAGAGGAGGGAGTGGAAGTAGTCTGGAATGAAGTCATGATTTCAGAAAGGAAAAACTTCAAACCTCTAGAGGTGAGACTCAGTGCTTCAGGTGGGAAGAAAATAAGTTAAATTAGGTCTATTTGATTGAGCATTGAACATTTTAATGAAAAAAAAAAATTACTTCTATCCTGATTTTTGAGGCACATATTCTTCTATCCGCCTAACGCTTTCATCTTTAGGAGGGCAATGACCACTCTTCACATTATATTCATTTGATGAAGGGATTGAACAATTAATTGTGATTAATTGATTGTTGAAATAGTTTTCTAACGGAATGGATAATTTGTGTACAAAAACTCTAAAAACATTATATATATATATATATATATATATATATATAAATAAACATTTTAATTGTATTGCTTTGATCTGTAATCATCTTTATGCTGTTTTTGCTTTTTTGAAATATGGATCAGGAGAAAGTCAAGGCTGTATTTGATAACCTTATTCATTTGGAACATGCCAATATTGTCAAGTTTCACAAATATTGGGCTGATACTAAGGACAACAGAGCAAGGGTGAGTCTTCCCTTATTTTAGACTCCTTCCCTTTTATTCAGTTAAATAGTACTCAAATGTTTTCATGTAGATAACATCTGCCCATGTCTTATCTCTGCCAGGTGATTTTTATCACTGAATATATGTCATCTGGAAGCTTGAAGCAGTTTCTTAAGAAAACAAAGAAGAATCACAAAAGTATGAATGAAAAGGTATGGTGAACATCTGTTATTTTTTTTATCTGTTTAAAAAATAATTCTGTGCTTTATTGCTTTCTTGTATGTGTATGCCATGTGCGCAGTTTAGCTGGTTTAGCTTATTGATCCTTCCTTATTGAGCTTCTTGATCCTTCAGGCGTGGAAGAGATGGTGCACGCAAATCCTGTCTGCGCTCAGGTCAGGTTCCTTTAACAGAAGTTTACATACATTTATGTCCTTCTTAATGGTTTAAAGGATGCCAGTGAGAGCTTTCTGTTCAACTTTGAATTTATTTATTTATTCTCGCCATGTTTTACAGTTATCTCCACTCGTGTGATCCACCGATTATTCATGGGAACCTTACCTGTGACACAGTCTTCATTCAGCACAACGGGCTCATTAAGATTGGATCAGGTATAAGATTACAGCAGTTTCATCCCAATGGCTTTGATAACTGAGCTTAAGCTTTGTTGGAGTTAAATTATACTGAATTGTAAATAAAGGAACTCAAACGTTCAGTTGACTTTTATTAGCTAGTCACTACATTTCTGTAACTGGATGTAGAGATTCAATAAAGGTCCTATTTTCCCTGTTTGTTTTTATTTTATGAGAGGTATGGTTGTTTATGCACCACTACAATGATATTTTTCTTTTAGACATTCCAGTCTGTTAAACAATATCTTCTGTATTTTCTCCTCCTGCTGTCTTTGATAATCAAACAATTATATTAAGCTTTAACTACATTATGATCTGTTTAGTTTTTTCTATGAGTGAATTACTGAGGTCAAATCTGTGTGTGTTTGGCTTTAGGGAGGAAAAATAATTATTTTTTTATATTCTCTTTCTAAATCTCATGCATTTCTCTAACCCTTTCATGCTGAAGTTAAAAAATAAGGAACCTTTTCATTTTTGCAGTTGCCCCAGACACCATTAACAACCATGTGAAGACGTTCCACGAAGAGCAGAAAAACTTGCACTTTCTTGCCCCTGAATATGGAGGTAAAAACCACCAAATTAAGAATTCTCTGTTTTTCTTTTTACATTGTGAGACATGTTGAAGTTTTTAAAAGGGGTTTAATAGATAATGATGGGTAGAAATATTTTTCAAAGTCTGTTCTGAGAGCTGAACAGTGATGAGGTTGCTTTTGATTGTTTCTGCTACTGTAGCTGATAACGACGTGACCACGGCTGTAGACATCTACTCATTTGGCATGTGTGCCTTAGAGGTGAGAGAGCTAATAGGATGCATCATATATATATTTGCCTGAGCTATTTTCCCCTGCAATCTAATCATATGCTATTGTGCTGCAGATGGCGCTTTTGGAAATTCAAAGAAACGGAGAGTCCTCCTACATTTCTCAGGAAGCCATCGACAATGCTATACAGTTACTGGAAGACCCGCTCCAGAGGGTAAGAGTTTTAATGTTCATGACTATCTGTACGTCAACAGTTTGTAAAATTCCGTTTTCACAAGCGGTGTTTGTTATTCAGTGCATTATCTATTTATTTTTTTAGGAGTTAATCCAAAAGTGCCTTTCGTGTGATCCCAGTATAAGGCCTACAGCCCGGGAGCTGCTGTTTAACCAAGCTCTCTTCGAAGTGCCTTTATTAAAACTGTTGGCTGCACACTGCATCGTCAGCTACCAACGTGAGTCCTAAATACACACACGTATAAACATACACAGAAAAAAATATCTATGCTTTTATTAAAGTAGAGAAGAAACATGATGAGGATTTTAGGTTTGACTTTAACAGGATCTTGGTGGAAAACTAGGTGACTTCCTCTTAAACTGGGTCTTCTCAACATCTTTACTCGTTGATGCTTAATTTATGAAACTGAGTTATTTATTAAATCACTCTATTTTGGATTTCATAGAAATCTCTGCTGCCATCTCCTTTTTAAAAAATTAAGGCATTTTCACATTTGACCATGTGTCGCAGGATTATTGTCTGCTAATACAAAGAGACATCTACTGCATTCAGACAGTTACTGGACTTTCTAACGTAACAAATGTTGCAAATTTCTCTGTTTCTTTTGTCCAGACATGATTCCTGAGAATGCCCTGGAGGAGATTACCAAGAAGCTGGATCCCAATCTGGTTATTGCTGTGACTAAAGAGGATGTTCAGCTCAAGTAAGGGTCAAAAACTGCCATTCGGGCTCAGATGAGGCTCTGCATCCTTTTACAGAGAGCAAAGTTTAAGACTCTTACCTGTTCAGTTGCAGTGATGAACAACTTCCGGTTGGGTTGGCTGTACTTGTAGAGGGTTGATTCTTAACAAATGTTTTCTGATGGTTATTTTAGTATTTTTCATTAAATATGCTCAGTAAAATAAGTTTTTAAAAGCAGTGACAACAAATTGGTTCAGTGTTACCAGAGTTAAAAAGATTGTACAACCTGTTGGGCATCCTAGTTCTGTTATTACATTTGGTCTAAGGAAAAAATGGTATTACATTGTGTTTTGAATATGATAGAAGGCCTTAAACATTTCGTTTAAATTATATTTATCTTTTTTTTTTTTTTTTTTGTTTAGGTTGTCTCAGTTTCCTGCCTTGGAGCTTGATAAATTCCTGGAGGACGTGAGGTGAGAAACAAAAAATGTATATAACAGAAATCAGTGGATTTCAAAGGTTTAGCTAAAAGGTTATTATGGGTAAGTTCCTTTTTAAGGTGATTATATGACCTTTACTGTCTGACCACAGGGAAGCAGCATTGAGCCATCCTACACACTTGGTGTTAGCATTGGTTTTTCTAGTGATTAAATTATATTTATTTTATTATTGGCCTCCAAAGGTTTAATCCTAGTCTTTATTTGGGACCTCTGTTTTATGAATTTAATCTATTTTCTCTAATAAATGACCTCTTTCTATCATGTGCTCCCCAAATCTCTGCTCAGGAACGGCATTTATCCCATGACAGCCTTCGGGGTACCCAGTCCCCAGCAGACTCGACACAAAGCAGTCACATCTCCTGTTGTCATTCCTTTGGTCAAAACTCCCACACCTGAACCGGCAGAGCTTGAGACACGACGGGTGAGTTCAGTTTATTACTGCATCCGAGACGGTTCATTGAAAAAACTATTAAGCGCTGCCATGATGCAGTCTGCTTTTACATCAACAGGTTTGACAAGCTTTATGTTTTTACCTCTTTTCAGTTACTTGTTTTCTTCTGCAGGTTATTCAGATGCAGTGTAACTTGGAATCTGTTGAGGAGGGAGCAAAGTATCATGTAAGTGTGTTTCAGAGAAAAGCTGTACTTTTTGTCGAACACATTTCTTAACTTAAAACCTGGTTTTGTTCTGTCATTAAGTCAAAATGTTTATCTGTTTTCTGCTTCTCTCCTCTTAGCTCACATTACTGCTGAAACTGGAAGATAAACTAAACAGACATCTAAGCTGTGACATGTTACCTCGTAAGATCACACTCATTGTTTATCACCTGCTGATACATCTATATTGCCTTCCAGCTGTTTTAGATTTTCTGTTTTAGATCACTGTTCTGAGCACAAAAAGCACAAGAATGGGATGTAAAAAAACAAATGACAGAGTAAAATCAAAAAATATTTAGCTGTGGTTAAAGTAGGAACACTGATATAGTTGACAAATATTAACCAAATATTTGAGTTATTTCTTTAAATTGTTCCTTGGTGTTTTTAAAGACTTACAATCATGGCTTGTAAAATCAGACACAATGTTGTTTGATGCTTTTATTTTTGTGGTTCCCACAATGGTTTGAACTTCAAAACCTTTGCTTGGTCCACTACCTCAGCTGCCTTAAAAAAGTTAATCCAAACCAATCAAAGTATTTTATGTTTTGGCACATTAGAACTCCAGACATATATATTTTATCATGACTTTTAAAGGAATTGACAGCCAGAAAATAGTGTATAATTAGAATGAAAAGGAAAAATTATTTATTATTTAACAAAAAGTAAAATGAAAGCCATAGGAGATATAAGAAATCATGTTAATAGCTTATGCTCTGAGAAGGTTCCAAGTACCCGGTTCGAATCCCACTGCCTCCACTCTGGGTTCCTGAGCAAAACCCTTAACCCTAGATTGTTCCCAGGGCGCCACACAATTGCAACCCACTGATCCCCAAGGGGATGGGTTAAATGCAGAGGTAAACTTCTCCAATGTGAGATTAGTTCAATTATTATTATTCTACAAACCCTGTTGGGCACAGAGCCTCCATGTGGAAGATGGTGCTCTGGTCAAAATGTCACTTGTTGGCCTACTTGCAAAACATATCTGCTCCATATAAATGACCCCCACTAAAACAGGGTGGTGGCTGCATCAAGCTGTGGAAAAACAGCAGCTTCAGAGGAGATGACTGATGATAAGTGCACAACAGTTTTCTGTGCTACTAATTTGGAAGAAAACCTTTTTTTAGGCTGCAAAACACGTGACACGGTTGGATGTCTCAGTGTCGTACTTGTGAAAATTCTGATTGACCTTAAGCTGTCATTTTCTGTAGACTGGGGAAAATGTTGCAGTCTCTATACGCAAAGATGCTTTAATTATACTCTAAAATTACTCAGGGCTATCACTATATCAAAAGATGTTTTTACAAGGTATTGACTCAACGGTTTTTGTGTTTTTCCTGTAAAAATTATCATTTTCTTCAGTTATATAATAATTATAGTTTACATTGTGATGGTCCGTCACAATGAAATCCCAGTAAATCTGTGCTTTTTTGCCGTTGCAGTGGGATAAGATCTTGAATGTTAAAGCAGTATAACAACTGTAGAACTAATAACTGTCATCAAGTAAACAAGCAAGATTTCTGCTGGAGAATTAAAGTGGTGATTAAAATGTCTGCTGCCAACCAGCTATTTAACCTTAGGTCATGTGTTAATACACCACTCATTCTTTAAATAATCATGTTTGGAATATAGATACTGCTGTTGCAGAAAAGGTCAGCTTCACAAAGGTCAAGTCAGCAGATTCTTGAAATGACTAAAGATAAGTTAAGGAATTTCCAACATCAGTTATAAGAGTGACAACCCAAGATTGAAAAGGAAGAAAAATAAATGAAAGGCAATACAATATTAAGCTTCTCTATTTTTATATTTCCTTCATGAACAATGTGAAGGAGAACTCCAGGTATAGGTGATTGGCATAAAAAGCTCCAGGTTTTCTTCTCTTTTTTTTTTTTTCTTTATCTTTTACACCAGTAAACTCAGTGTTGGGATATTCCACGTGTTTCTAGATTCAAATTTCTTTTTTTTTTTACGCTTTGCCCCTGAAGTTCACATCTTGTGTGTGAATAATTACGATGAATGCCACAACATAATGTCATCCAACTGGACAGAAAGTGTTGGCCGTAAAATCTGGTGCCTGTCATGCACTCAGAGGTATGGTCGGCATGTAAAATGTTGCAGACGTGTGGAGAATGTGACGGGCTCCAGCTGACAGCTGTCACCTCCTCTGCTCATCTCTTACTAGGCCTTCACGACTGTCTCTCATTAATGCTCGCTACATCCAGTCATTTGCTGTTGTCGCTCCTGCTTCTCAATTCACACGTCTGTCCCTGCACTCTCACTCCCTAGTTCCACTGACATGCATGTTGTAATTGTATATGTCTTGCAGTCCTGCACATGCTGAAAGCCTCCCTTGTCTGCCAAAAGTCCAAAGTGTCACTGCTTGGTCACCAGATAACTGATCCAATCCAGTTTCACCCCCTGGTTTAGTTTAATAGCTCTTTTACTTTTACTTTCATTCATCTGCAGTTCAGGATTAATCATTGCATTTAAACCTTTAAAAATTAGAGATACCTACTTATTCTTTTATTTATTTATTTTTATTAGTTTTTTTAATGCACATAAGGGCACCCTTGACATTGTAATGAAAGAATCCATATCAATGTGCTCTGAATAACTGCGACATATTATTTTGTTAGTGTTAAAATGCATGTTGCTTCTTCATAAGTATGAAGGTTTGATATTAATATCTTGGTAAGGCCACGATTCTCCTTTGACTTTATGCAAATTGGGCATAAAACGGCGCTTACTTGAGTCATCTATTGTGAAATTTAGAAAATAAAAACCCTAAATTAAAGGTCATTAAAGAATTTGCATCAGAAATGTTTACGAATTTTGCACTATTATAGTATTGATATAATATTTGCCCATCTGGAACAGTTATGTGTATGGTTTTATTTAAAGACATCATTTTTATTTTAGCTATAAGTTTTGTTCCTCTAATTTGTCTTTATCATTTTGTCAGGGAAACTATTGTAGCTGATAGGCATGATATAGTTTATTTAAAACCCATGACTCATTAAAACAGTGCAACGATTTCCAGGCTTAAACATTTATTAATATCAACATTTTATAAACAGAACCAGATTTTCTGGTATAATGGAATAATTTACAATCTACCAGAGGTATAAATAGTCTGGAAACTTACTGTATATATGAGCTATGTGTTAAAATATTGATATGTTGAAATGTTGCATTTTGTCCTCTGTAGATAAAACCTCTAAAGATATCTCTTTAAAGTTGTTTTGGTTAATCTTTAAAGTGTAATTATTAGTTTAAAATGTTTTTGGAGACTGAGAGCACATTATGAGCCATTAGCTACTGTAGATCATCACATTAAACTTTGCTTACATGATTGTCACTAATTGTTTCAGATGAAAGTGTTCAAGATTTGGCTGAAGAGTTGGTGCAGCTGGGCCTGATCTGTGAGGTGGGTGTTTTTAGCTTAACTCAGGCTTGTTTTGGTTGTGGGACTCTGCAGTTAGATCTGCTGTTCCTTTGCTGTAGTGCGGGCATCCCCAAGAGTAGGTCCTCGAGGGTCGCTGTCCTGCAGGTTTTAGAGGTTTCTCTGCTTTAGCACAGCTGATTCTGATGAAGGGAAAGCTCTAAAACCTGCAGGACAGCGGCCCTCGAGGTCTTACTTTTGGGATGCCTGCTGTAGTGTAATCCGAACCAACCTCATTGTACAGAAGAAAATCATTGCATACTGCAGTAACAAATTATTGTGATGGCGAAGTACTGAAGTAGTTTTACTAGATTCAATTCTACACATATTTTATGTCTTTTAAAGAGACTGTAGCTTGTTTCCTGTAGCTTCTTTGTCTCTGTTTAATTAAGTCTTTCCTCTCCACAGGTGGACCAAATAAAAATCTCCTCACTGCTTGAAGAGACATTTAGCCAAGCTCTTCAGTAGCACATATCACCAGAACATTTTCAGCCTTGTTACTTGCTCCTCGTGGATGTACGGCATTGATTATCATAAAAGAAAAAAAAAACTTTTAAAAGCACAAAACATCCAGCGTAAACCCAGATGCCCCCAAAGAAACCAGCAGCTGTGAACTTTTCTGTTTTGCTACAGGCTAAGTAATAATTGCTCGGCGAGTTTATCCCCAGCCTGGAAAACCTTTAAACCATTGCTTTCAAGTGTGCTTTGTTTACATGAGGAGCTGCCTTGTTTGTTTGTTTGTTTCCAGGAGTTTGTCTAAAGCACCTTGGAGATCTGATGGTCTCCTACTCCAACCTGCTGGTGTTGTCCCTTTGTTTTAATGGCAGCACCTGGACTCACTGACAATCAGCAAAACTGTAGTTTCCCTAGAGACTAGTATTCCCTTTCCATGCACAAAAGAATGAGCCACGCTGCTCGTTTCCATTTCATTTTATTCGGTTCTCATTGTGTTTTTTTCTCAGTGTTTATGCCTTTCTTTTGGATCATTCTGTGCTTTTTTTTTTCTGATAAAGCAATTTCCTTTTAAGTTATCCATGTGGACACTTTGGTTATCCGGATGGCAGACATGCAGCTTCTGTAGGTGACTTTATCAGAAAATATTCATAATATAAAAAGCCTTTATGAAATGAGAGAAGTTGGTGCATTATGGTATTTACTTTTTGAAAATGCATAACTTGCTTTGAGGTACTGTGAATTTGGTGTCTTTAAATTTCTGTTTGTTTTTATATTTATGTTTTTTTTTCAGCCTGTCTAAATGCTTTAAGGTTCTTTTTTTATTATTCATATATATATTTTTGTTACTTCTGTTTACAGTTGCTGCTGTCTAAGTTGACCAGTTAGTTTTCCCTTTCTCAGCTGAAAAATTGTGTAGTGAACCATGGTGTAATAATTTGTTACAGAAAGGTCTTTGCTCCATTGCTGTGTTTTATAAGAAAAACAGGTACTTTATTTCAAGTGGTGTTTGCATATTTTCCTTTTACATACAGCTGCCCTGTTGTGGGTCTGAGCCAACAAAATACTTTAGTTTTTAATTAGGTACAACTAAAAGCTGATGTACTATAGGTCATAGGTAGACTGACATTTATACTGGCCTTTTTGAGTAAATCAGGGTTTCTTTTTCTTAAAGGTCAAAAATGTCTAAAAACTAAGTATACAGTATAGCAAGACTACAAAGAATTACTGGTATTTTTTTTTACTTTGTTCCATAATTTGATGCCTTTTATATCCTCCTCTAACATTTTCATGAACTCTTTAATTACTCAAGCCGATAAATAAAAGTCGAGCGCCACTAGGTCCTGTTTCACATTTATTCCACGTACTGTCTGCTCTATGCTTTATGTTGTCAGTCTTGGTGCATTACTTGTCAATGTCTTTTTTTTATTATTATCTTCTATCATTGTGAACTTCTAAGATTGTATTTTCCCAAAAGTTGCCCGAGTCAACCAGGAGAATGTAAATGGGCCACCTCAGAGCACAGAAGTGGTTCAGAATTCAGTTTATATTGACTGTCTGCTACCTGTCTTAACTGTTATTCTTTTTCACCCCATTCATTAGCGGTGATTAAACTGGTTATTAGATAATCAACCATTTTTTGCAGCTTTAGTCTGTTACTCCATGATGTGTGCTTTTGCTTATATGTAGGTATTTTAAAGGATTGTATATGACACAGATGTCAGTAAACGTGTGCCTTTTTGATGCTTATATTCTGTCATAGTTGTAGAAAAAACTTCATTAATAAAGATGAGATCAATGTTCTTCCCTCGTTAACCTTATTTAATCTTCCTAGACAGAAAAATCTAACTATAATACTACACGTTCTTGCATAAACCATGTTACGCTAATCTACATGTTGCAAAATGCCAATACCTTGGATACCTTCATTGTCAGTCACATCCATTGTTGGGATATATATATTTTATTAGTGTTTGTATATTCTGTTAGGTTAATTGGCTTCTCTAAATTCTCCTTAGGTGTGAGTGTGTGCGTGAATCGTTGTTTGTCTCTGTGTGTCTCTGTGTTGCCCTGCGATGGACTGGCAACCTGTCCAGGGTGGACCCTGCCTCTTGCCATAGACAGCTGGAGGTAGGCACCATATATATATTAGGGGTGTGCAAAATAATCGTGATGATGATGCATCGTGATTCTAATTTTCGTGATCTACTGAATCGATTCTTGATGCCAAGAATCGATTATTAATTTAAAAAAATGAATAAATAAAATTGCATGAATGGTTGGCGAACATCAGCCAAAAACAAGTGCAATACCACTTCCAGTCCAGTAGATGTTGCTGCAAATGTGTTGACGCACGCTGCCTTGTGTCACAAGCATTTTCGGCCGTGGGATACTGTGCCGAGTCATTCAAAAACAAAACATGGAGGAGAAAATATGGCAATGCATCGCAATAATTCAAGTATCGTGATGCATCGTGATAGAATCGCATCGTGGCCTGTGAATCGTGATTCGAATCGAATCGTGACTTCTTTGGCAATACCCACCCCTAATATATATATATATACACACACACATTTACCTTAAAGCAGAAGAAAATATATCAAACCAACTCATTTTTTTTCTTGGCACATTTAATGGCCCACTTTAGTATTGAGCTACTTTCTGGCTGAGTGGTTGATTTAACGAGTCATTTACATATTTATGCCATTATTCTTAATTATGGCACGGTTACTGTGGTCTTCCATATAGATGGGCCTTTTCCTTTCCCAAAACCTGACTGAAAACTGAACCTTGAACATGGCAGAGTTTCATCTCCTTGTCGTTTACTACCTTGTAAATCTGAAATCTCCCTGCAGCCAAAACCAAGTGGAGTGCATGAAAAATGAAGGCATATACAGCTGAGGGAAGGAAATTACTTTTATCAAGTCATACAGGGAAACAGAATAAAGCAAGCTTCTGAAAGATATTTTAAGTAATAAATTTCAATAATTTATTTGTTATTTTTTTTATTTAAAAAAAGTAAGTGCAAACAAGTAAGGCAATGTGGAAGGCATAGTAGAGGCAGATTTAAAAAGGAAGTACAAGGCATTATTGATAAGGAACAAAAAATAAAAGGAACAGCTGATAATTAAATATTAAATAATTATTTTATTGTTATTATGTACTTCGGTGGGCAAACCCATCAGTATTTCAGTCAGGTATTATTATTATTATTATTAGGGTGCTTTTGTCTGATTTCTGATTTTATTTTTTTTTTCAATCCAAATTATTAAGATATAACATACTTTAACTTAAATAGATAATGGAAGAGATTTAAACAAAGAAAAAAAAAAAGCAAGATATATTACATTTCTCCAAATATTTCCTGAGTTACGTAAACAGTGTGTATACATGTTTTATTGTTGATTCTTTGGATACAATTGAAGTTTTTTATATATATATATATATATATATATATATATATATATATATATATATATATATATATATATATATATATATATATATATATATATAATTTTCAAACACAGGGAAGAAAGTTCGACCTTTGGAAAATTTGGTTTTGTGTATGTGGAATTTTGCAATTAGAATAATCAAGTTAACCAAGAGTTGCATTTTCCTATCATTATCTGATTTCCTAAATTCTTGTAACGTAAAGTGCGTGCAGTACGCAATAATGTACGTCACAGGTAATTCACAGGTAAATCCTAGCGCGTCATCCAGGAAGTGGACAGACGGACGTCCGCACGGGACGGAGCGACTAAAGAAGCTTTTGTTTTTGAAAAGTTACTGGGGAAGAAGTAAAACAACACCATAAAGAGAAAAAAAAAAAAAACGTTTCCAGCCAGCCAGCAGAGGATGTGCAGCTTCGGTGAGTGCGTGTTTCCATGTTTTAATGTATGTAATTAATAAAAGCAACGTGTTTTCAAAGGCCGGTCAATGGCTGCAGGTCCTCTGAGTTTTACCTGCAGTGGCCTACAGGATCTGAGCCAGTTTATTAAATGTCTGCATCCTTTGTTGTTTAAAAAATGAATCCTACATTCAATACAAGTTACAGATAATGCAGACCCTTTGTGTGCTGATTATAAACCTGTCAAATAATGGTAATAAAACAGATAAAGCAATATATTAATGTTAAACGTGAAGTTTTGAATAAACGATTACAAGTATGCGATTTACATCTTTTCTGTAATTCAGTAGCTATAGAGTGGAAACAGAAATGACCCCTGGTAGATTTAAATGTAAAGAATTTTATTTTCTCCAAGCCTGCAGCTCCAATAGCCAAAGTTCTTCATAACTTTGGCTAAAAATGATAAAGACTGGAATAATAGTTTTAAATAAGAAACAAGATTAAAAAATGAATTTTTTTTCATGTCATTAATGTATTGAATTTTCAAGAAGAATGACAGTAAACTTATTTTTATCCTTTTGTGTCATTAGGTTAAAAAATTGGGATTTCTTTTGTTCAAGTTTAGTTTTTTCTTTATTTTAAAACTTCAGATTTAAATAAATTTATGTTTCTTCAAACATTTTTATAAATCTCCGGTCTTAGTAATAATCAAATAATCAAAAAGGTCATTTTACAGCTGCAGCTCTAAACAAGGTTTTAGCTGGACTGAATGCAAAAAAAGCTCTTTGTAATGAAAATGCTGCAGACCCTGGTCCAGAAGTAATTAGGTCCCATTCAGAAATCTGCATTGAGTCTAATGGGAGCTGCAGATTAGGGGGATGGCATGGCGCTTTCTAACATGAAAGAGTCAAATAGAGAAATATAGCAGTAGAAACATGCAAAAACTGGTCTGTTATTACATAAAGGCTTTGATTGATTATATTGTGAATAGGGCTAAACAATGAATTGGAATAAATGTAATTTATCGATTATTGTTAAAATCCTCAAGTAATTTAGTAATCGATTGATCGTTAACTGGAGTTTAGAGACTCTAAAATATGCCTTTAGGTGACAGATCAACCAACCCTTGAGCAACAATTAAACCAAAATTGTAAGAAAAAGATATAAACATTTTGCATTTAAGATAAGAAACCTATTCGTCTGTCAATATGCTCTATCCAGAACTCCTCAAGTGGAATTGTTTTAGTTTAATTTCGTAAAAACTCTTCTTTAAGAAACCTTTTGCTATCTGATTATTAATCGATTAATTGGAAAGAATAATCAACAGATTAATCTCTTTGCAAAATAATCATTAGTTGCAGCCCTAATTGTAAAACAAATCTGTTATTTAATCTGCTATTTAATTTAAAAAAAACCGTCCTTGTATAAATTAGTGCCCTCTTTACATTTTATAATAATTTTAATATACTTGCCACATTTCTAATCAAAACCCAATTTAGTAACCTAGATGAACAAAAATAGTTTTAAATATATAGTTTGGGACTAAGCTGTGTAAATACAAATGTGCAAAAAAACCTTAATATTAGGGCTGCAACTAAAGATTATTTTGGAAATCGATTAATCTTTTGATTATTTTTTTTTTATTATTGATTAGTAATTGGACAGTCAAAGGTTCCTTAAATAAAATGTTTTACGAAATTAAACCAGGGGAAACTAAAACGTTTTCTCTGTCAGCTGAAGGCATGTTTTAGAGTCTCTATACTACAGTTAACGATTAATAAATTAGTTGACAATTATTTCAAAATTAGATTAATCCAATTAATTGTTTCAACCCTATTTAATACGCATTTTGGTTTTGTAACAGGCAATTATTAGAAAATTCTTTTCATTATGTTTATTCACATAGCAAATCTATGCATTAAAATAAACCTTCTTCTTTTCAAGGGCTTATATGAGGTGAAAAAGGCTTTTTTAAATCTAGCTATATTGAGTCCTAATCCATAGAAAACCCAATTGGATCCTAATTCTGATGCAGTATTAACTTTCAATTATATGTGTGAATATTTTTGGTTAAGTGGATTTCAGCCATGCATTGTTATTAATGGCTGCTCAAATTCACCTAGTGATATTTTTAACCATTCAATCTAAAATGTCTGCTTAAGTCCTAAGACTTGCATTTATTATAGCTGCAACAGTAATAATAACAAAATAAACTTTTTGTTATTCAAACTAAACCTGCATGTAATTACAGCCTTGCTTATTAGCACTAAAACTTAACAGCTATTTTTGTTGTTTCTGTCCTCCAGATAAGGAGAAGGGGCCCGGGAGGCTGATGAAAAAGGGGCTGATTCTCATCCTGGTCGGCCATATCAACTTTATCCTGGGAGCTATCGTCCATGGCACCGTCCTGCGTCACATTTCCAAACCCAGTCAGCAAATTAGTACCAACTACACGGTAGCCAACATCATTTCTGTCACGTCTGGCCTGCTGGTGAGTTACCTCTTCAGACCATTAGTTTGCAGTTTGGATGGTGAAACGGAACCAATTAAAAGCATTTAATATGTGTTATTTGAACTCTTTGTCTTGATATAGTGTTACACAATCCAAGGCATTATTGTAATATAATGATATATTTCGAAATTACTTTATTAAAAAAAGCTTAATCTTTGTTCCCACTCAAATCTAATATCACATGTTGTGTGCAAACACCCAGAGGTAAGTAAAGTTCCCAAAAACTGTACTCAAGAGTAGAGATGTCCCGATCCAGGTTTTTGCACTTCCGATCCGATACCGATATTGTTTTTGGACTTCCGATCCGATACCGATACTGGCCGATACCAGCATATCCGAGCATGTATTTAAGTTTAAGTTAAAGTATTTAGCCTTAGTTGTAAGACTCATGTTGAAAAGGGTTTTAGTACTCTTGATAACATCTAGCCAGCTAAATTAGGTGAGATTGAATAAAACACAATGCTTGGTAACAACAAACTTAACTGTTTATTAAGAGATAAACACAAACTGGACAAAATTACGAATAGCAATCTGAAATTGCACAGTGAGCAGTAAAACCGTAAACAGTTAAAGATGCAAGTATTACTGTAAGTTTTAATAACAATGCAAAACAGGGGAACACTGGCGCAAAATAGTGGAATGGATCGTTTCAATCGGCGAAACTGGAAAATACGGACCGGATTTTTTTTTAAAAACTGGATCGGCAGTCTGGATCGGCATTTTACATGCTTTGCCGATACGCATTTTTTAGCCAATATCGGCGTCCCGATCCGATACGTGGATCGGATCCGAAGCCGAAGCCTACTCAAGAGTAACATTACTTCATCACATATTTACTCTGTTAAAAGTTTCTATCCAAGAAATTAAAGGTACACTATGCAACCGGTGTTGATTTTCCAGCGAGGCTCCCCCCAGAGGGCGAAAGTAAAAGTGCACTGTCGTAAATATGCTAAGCTTTTCTCCTGGTTTCTCCGTCAAGCCAGGCGCGGTTGTTTTGAGCTTAGCAGCGAATGACTAATGCTGCGTTCGCGACAGAAGCAGCGAGTTTACATGCAAAGTCAATGGTTGACGCGCGTCAAGGCGCAGCAAAAGGTCCCGCGGCTCGTTTTGAGCACCATGCGCAGCACGTCTGAGCAGCTGAAGCAGCGCATCGGGTGCGTTTAACGCAGGGAGAGAGACACAGCGCTGATGATCACTCCTCTTAAACAGTTTATTGACGCCTAAATTAACTTAAAATGCAGAAATCTGCCGGCAGAATATTCAGTTTGGATTATTTAGATGAAAAACACCTACCAGCTGCCGCTGCGAACCGCTGCTGATGAAGGGATCCATACTGTCGGCGCATCCCTGGTATGTGGGGGTCTGAGCGGCTCCGACAGAAAAAATATTGAAGGCAGGATAATAATCTGAATGAACTGACTGCACTGGTTACGTTTTCAGTTGTATTTTCTCACTTAAACACATATTAAAACTACTTTATTCCCACTGATCACAGCAAATATAGCTGCAAGGCAGAGAAAGGATAGTGAAGCTCCGCCCAATGCGCCTCAGACACACTTTTGCACCGCGCAGCCAGAGCAGCAAAGCTGCTTCAGCCGTGCGTCAGAACTAACTGGTACAAGCAGCAAAAAGGAATCAGCAGACGCGATTTTGCTGCTTTTGCTGCGTGAACGTAGCATAACTGCACTAAGATTGCCACTGTGCTAGCAACGAGAATGCTTTTAACTGGGGGCATGTAGCAGTTCTCGCCGTAAAGCAAGACTGACTCTCACGAGACTTCTGAGCCCGTGGGTGCGGGTCGGTGCTCCTGCAGGTGCAAGTGCGGTATTTCCCCCACAGACCACCAGGGCGGCCGAGAATACCTTTGTTCAACCTGAAATGACTCATTTAATCATCCATAACGTTATGGAACACATTAATTAACTGAAAAATGTTGCATAGTGTGCCTTTAAGTCAAGCAAGAATGAAAAATTATTAGGTAAAAAAGGCTCGTCAAGTACTAAGCAATAGAACTACTTACTCGTCAGGATCATAACATCGGATTTAATATTCTAAAAGTTATGTAAAATTAGAAAAATAACATTCTATTTGAATGCTTGAGTTGAAAACAATGAAATGAAAAATAAACATAGGCATTATAATAATATCTGGTTGAAGATGCACTTTTTAAAATATATTTTGATAAATATTTTTTATAATAAAACTTATGAATAGGATATAATATGGTAAGTTCCAGTAACATGATAAAGGATTTGCATTTCAAACAACTTCCATTTTTATAGAGTGAATCACACAAATTGGTATTGATAATGTAGTGAATTACTCAAGTAGTAATAATGCATAATATTTCTATTTAAGTAAAAATTATAAGGTAGTAAAAATACCCCTTAAAAGTATAAAATGTTTTCTATGTAATAGTCTTAACAGTTCTTCCTTTTCACTGAAGTTTTTCTTTTTTTAAAGCAGTACTGTATTTTTATACAGGGTTATTACACAGGGTGTTTGCATGTATATTTATATAGATAGGTATTTATTTATATAACCATTGCACTGGCTATAAAATAAAAAGAAACAGGTTATTGCACGGGGTATTAAATTGTAATTGCACATTATGCATTGCACAAGTTATTGGCATTATAGTGTCACATTGTAAAGTCTGATGCCAGCAGGGATGAATGACCGGCAGTAGGGCTCCTTTTTACAAATGGGGTGTAAAAGTCAGTAATGGGTAATACAGCGATGGGCAACTCTTAAGTTTTTTTGTTTTTGTTTTTGTCTTTCCAAATAAGCAGTATGATATACAATAGCTTACAAAAAAAAAACTGGTCAGGGTTGTTAAAGATTTTTATTGATGAAAAAAAATTTGAAAAGTGTACAGTGTATTCAGCTCCACTGACTGAAACTTTTGCAGAGAAACAACCTTTGGTTGCATTACATCTGCAAGTCTGAATTCACACCAGACCAAAAGCAGACTTTAGTTTTTCATTAGGTTCACATTCAGACTGATAGATCCTAAATATGAGAACATACTGTAAATAACAACACAGCTGCCACGTGTGACAGAAATTACTATGGCAGGACGGAGGACAGAACTGTTAATGGAGGGAAATTACCATCAGTCCTTAATGGATAACCTCTTTATTTGCTTTTATTAAAGCTGCAAAAATCATTTCATCAAGAGATGCTCACTTACTTTTTATTTCTTATTTTGTTCCTGAGGAACACAGTGCCCAGTGCTCACAGCATGATGCTGCATGACATGTTCTGGGTGTTAGTTTTCCACCACACATCACATTTTACTGGTAGGGCAAGCGGTTTAGTTTTTACTTGTTACATTTTATCCGTGTTTGCTTTGTTTCCTACATTCCAGAGGGGATACTTACATTTTTTCCAAGAATTTAATACACTGTTGCGATTTTTTAGATAGAACAAACTCTGTGACTGCTTTAAAATTCGGGGGTGTTGACATATCTTTGCTTTAAACCTGTCCACAGCCGTGTCCCTCACCATGTGGTCTTTTGGTTGGTGTTCATGATGAGGTTTTTACCAACCTCTCAGCTCAGCTGCACCCTGGTGGCCGACAATATTTCCATTTCAGTGTAACCAAACAGAGCTACCAGTCAATACTTTTAATTACTTTGCCTTTGTACATACTCCCTCTCTTTTCTCAGTCCACTGCAGTGTCCAAGAACAATATTTTTTGTTACATATGGTTCATAATACAGAGATGTATGAAGCAGATACTGCCCTGTTAAAAAACACACTACTTGTAATATGGATGGCTAATGCTATCAGGTTATTATGACAACGTCTGATTGTCTCAGTCTGTCTTGTGGTTTTCATGAGATTTTGCACAAGCATTGTTCTCACATTGCTTCCCCCTCTTATTCCATTTTACAATTCAAACAGACAGGAAACATTTTGTGTTCTGTGATTTTTGTTTTTCTTCTGCATTGGGAAAACAATATCACACGCAACATATTAATAGTTGGCTCCCACTACATGCTCTCTGTGCAGTAATACTGCAGTGTGTTTTCCTCTGTGATCAAGACGGAACTTGCCTGTCATGAAGGAGCTGGTTCCACAAACCAATCGGTCTTCCCTGGAGGGCAGGACTCATTACATTCATTTAACAGATAAACTGACAATAGTCAGAAATAGGATGGTGGGAACTCTGTTTCTCGTTGAAATGATGTCCAAATGGCTAAGTGGGTCATAAAAAAGGCAGAGAAAACATATAAGGATAACAAAATGTATGGATTAGATTTAGGTTCTGTTAATGGCTTTGTTCGTGGTTTTCTGTGCTCTCATCAGTCTGCTTTTCTAGCCAATGATGTTAATTAAAAATCCAGTTGTACAACCTGCGGCTAGGATTCCCAGCTATCCCGCATAAGCTAATAAAGTCTACATTGTGCATAGTTTAAATGCTAATCTTCTCATTTTGATCTCACAGAGCATTGCCTCTGGGATTACTGCCATTGTGGTTTCAAGGAACCTTCATGGATTTAAGCTGGTAAGAGTTTAATTGGGTTTCAGATACTGAAACACATCAAATTGTGTATTTTCTACCTGCAAAAACGGTTTATGATGATCCCTCTGTCCTCAGCAAATAGGGCTTCTGGTGTCCTCATTCCTGAACGCTCTGCTTTCGGCTGCGTGCAGTGTTGGTCTCCTCTTGGCCATTAGCATCACCATCGCCCAAAATGGGAGTGGTCTGATGCTTGGATGCAATGACACAATGGTGCCCATTAACGCTCGTTCACCTGTCAGTGCACAGTGCCCATTTGATACGACACGAATCTATGTGAGTGAAAGGGAAACTTTTATTGGTTCTTGTTTGTTATGTTAAATAGGTAATCATTAATCATACTGTACTTCATTTCCACTTCCTCCTGCCTGTAAGGACACTACTCTTGCGTTGTGGATCCCCTGTGCTGTGCTGTCTGCAGTTGAGGCCGGAGTGTCAGTGTGGTGCTTTGTGGTTGGACTGGCTCTGAGAGGCCTGGCACCCTGTGGGAACAGCTACATCAAAGAGCAGGTGGGTTTCTCTGTGTAGGGCAAACAGATGTGCTTCAGGGCTGTGGCTGTCTGAATCTCTCTCTCTGACTCACAGCATTTTACTGGATCTGGCTTTACTTAATTTAAATGCAGAACTAACTCATTTATTGGATATTCCCTGTCAAATCACCCTGGGGCTTTCCAAATTAAGAGTTTGAGTACTCAGCAAATTACTCTGGCATTTTTACCTTTTTTTTCTTTTTAAAAAATCTAAAAAGTTTTTGATTTGTTAAAGTAATGATTTTTTTTATTTTATATATATTTATTTTATATTTTGAAAATAATTATAGGTGGTTTGATGTACATAGATGTATATGTATTACAGTAAATCTAGTATATATATATATATATATAGTTGTTAAATTGAATCGCTCACTACTATTGACGTTAATCCATTTTTTTCATTGCTCTGTAACTAACTACAACCTACCGATTAATGAGAGTTATCATGTTTTCCTTTTTTATCCTAGTTGGAGGAAGAGGCTGAGCGCTCTCCACCAACCCGCCGTTTGATGGGTAAACATTTCGATGCTGAGGCATGAAGCACCTCATATGTTTGTTCCAGTCTTTCCATTTCAAACCAATGACCCTAAAGTGCCGACTGATATAAGGATTAATATGTGCTTATATAAGAGTGTGACTCTTGAGTGTCCTAAAATGGTGTTTTTGTTTTTTTTTTATTGCCAAAGCTGTACGATCATAGTTTAACCATGTAGAGATTAGTGTTTATAAAATGTAAAAATGTTCAGATTCTTAACCACTCCATAATATGTGAATATCAGAACACGCCATTTCATTGTCTTTTTTCTTTCTTTTTTTTTTCACAAAATTCAGCCTTGATTTTAGTTTTGATACTGGAAAAAATGCTTTGTATGCTATTGCCATAAAATTATAAGATAAATAGGACATATAACATTTCAGGGAAATTTCTTTGATAATTAAGATATTGTTCAAATTTCTTTATAAAACCGATTATTAGTTTTTTGTGATATAACTTACTTTAACTGCATTGTTAAAATAAAATGTAAGGAGTATGTGAAACATTCCTAACTCTTTTAATGTTTTATTTTCCATACAATTTCATACAAATTTTCCATTATTTTTCAATTTTGTTGTTTTTTTTTTTTAATCAAAACTGAAGAGAAATCGTCAAATATGCTGTTGGAGGAATGTACTCTGAACTGCCTACATAAAAAAAAGGTTAAACTCACCAAAACTGTGTGGACTGAGTGCATCTATTTTGAGGAGTAATGTTGGTCATTGTTAAGTGGGGTCATATTAACCGATTAAATCAGTATGTGGGTCAGCAGCCTGAGCTGCGATGGACCGGGACCCCCCACAGTTTTCTGACAGAGAGGATCAGGATCAAGTCAGCCATGAAACAGTTAAGCTAGGGCCGTGTTAAATGCTGTGGAAGGAAATCATGGCACACAGTCCTAATCCTGAAGCTCTGGGAGACAAATATTGACAAGTTTTCACTAATAGAGTCACAACAGCTCATCAAGTTGCAGCACTTTAGTAATAGCCTAATCTCAGGGGGGAAACTTCAAAGAGATGAATAAAATAAGTGACATATTAACTTAATATTAGTCCCATACTCTTTGCTTCTATCTATTCTAAGCATTTATTACACGTAATGTAAGTTAATATTTGTTTAATCATGCCCTTTGTAAATATAGCTTCATACTAATTAATATAAAATTTTTTATGTATTTCAGTAATTATATACACAAAATATATCACATAAAAACATTTCACATTCTGATATATTTCAAAGGTTTATTTCTAAGCTTAATCATGGCTTTAAACAGTGAAAAAACAAAGTTTTGGCTCTTAAAGTAGAGAAATGAATTACCAGTCTTTAAAATATGACAAAAGAAATGTCAGCCTGCAGTTTTATGTACATTAGTGTTCGTTATTGGAGGTCAATACTTTGCAACTCTCCTTTAGCTTGAAGTAGTGCAGCATAGCATGAATCAGGCGTTAAGCAAGACAAGGATGATTTTAGATGGCCGCTAGCTTCTCTGCAGTTTTGGGTCTGTTGTTATATCTTCCCCACATAAGCATAACCAAACAATTACCTGTGAGGTTGAGGCTACAGTCAGGACTGCAGTTGCCCAATCAAGTAGAATGATGTTTATTAATCTTAGTACTGCCCATTTTGGCAGTGTAATCAGGTGCAAAGTCCTTTTGAAAAATGAAAGCCTCTCCATAGAAGTCATCAGCAAAATGAAGCCAGACGTTCTCCAAACTTTCCTGGTAGATGGCGCTACTCGTTTTGGACTTGATGAACAGAGACCGACAGCAGAAGATAACATGATTCCCCAGATCATCACTGACTGGTAACTTCACACCCAGATTAAGCAACATTCTAATCTTGTATCACCTTGTGCTAGATAAGTTTGATTACCTTGTTGGTTTAGGAATGACCGAGCACAAGGAATACAAGTTGCAGAAATGTGTGAGCAAAGCTGCCCCTACAGCTGCAGTCGATACCTTCTGAGGCAAACCTCTTAAATTGGCTTTTATTCACAATGGTTTTTGCTTCAACATCTTTTTATCATATGTTTTCCTTCCACTCAACTTCCCATTAATGCAATCAGATTTAAAACATTTGAATATTCAAAAGTTATTTTAGTTACTTAGTTCACATTAGACAAAGATTAATTTACACAGAAACTGATGATAGATAGGTAGATGGGTAGATAGGTAGATAGATAGATACTTTATTAATCCCTTATAAGGGAAATTCACATCCCCTATAGCAAAGATTATATAAAATATAAAAAATATAATATAGGATAAAAAACACACAAAATTAGATACAAATAAAATAAATAAATAGTAAAAATAATTTAAAAATACTCAGTCCTTCAAGAGGCATCAAACCGGGACAAAAGATCTTCTGTATACCTTCATTAATTATAGTTTCTGTGCCTTATAAAATACAAATATACAATTTAACTATTTGTTCCAAAGATTATTTTTTTCTGAGGGTACCTAAAGATGAGCATTGCTGTCAAAATTTATAATTTATTGAATATATATTTGGATACAGCACAGCATACAGCATACATACAAAGGACCTCTGACCCTTTCTCTCATTTTCAAAGGTATAAATGACTGTCTGCGTGGATAATCTTATTTTGTAAGCCATGCCATAAAATTTCTGTATCAAAATTCATTTTCTACTGCTCATATTTGAATTTTAATATAATTTAAAGTTTGTATTTACTTTAAGTCATTGTTATAAAAATAAAAACATTTATTATTTACTCCATTAAATTCTCGTTTACAACAACTTCTCATTGTTATCTTCTTGCATACTGCAATGTATCTAAACTGAGATTAAGCTCTGGGCCTTAAGTAAATGAAGAACATTTAAATAGTGGAACCAGATTACGGATTAAAATGACAAGTATTAATAAATAAATGAACAAATAAAATCCTCATCCTATTATATTTATAGAAATATTTTGGACATAAAATAGCAGTTGTCACGTTTTTCAAAAATACCACTTCTTTAGTACACTATTATATTCGTTATGATTTAGTTTTTCCCACAAGCACCAGAGACTAGCTCACGCGACTGGGGAACGTTGGTCGTTTGGTGCATGGCGCGTGTTTTGAAGCTGCTCTGCTTGTGGAGAAATGTCCTGGGCCGTGAGTAGTGAGGAAACAGGAAGCGATTCTTGTGGGATGGAAGAGGGAAATAGTGACAATGAAGGTTGGAAGATAGCAGCATCAAAAAATGAGAAAAAGCGGAAAAAACAGAGATCAGTTAAAGGGGAATCTAGTTCAGAACAATCCAGTGATGATCAATCCATACATTCCACAGCACAACAAAATGAATTCAAAGTCATATTCAAAGTCGTTAATCAGGCAGACTCTTTTACAAACTGGAATCCGGTTCACTTAACAAAAACCATCAATAAACTTGTTGGAGAAGTCAGAGGTGCCAGAATTCTGTACAGTGGAGACCTGCTAATTAACTGCAGAGACAGCGCCCAGCAAGGCAAAGCAATACGTATTAACAAAATTGACGGGATAAGAGTTCAGTGCAGCCTAATGGAGAACAAAAAGATCAGCAGGGGAGTCATTGGAGGAGTTCCTCTGAAAATTTCTGAAAAAGAGATTCTGGAAAACATAAGCGGTGCAAAAGTAAAAGAAGTAAAACGGTTAAAAACAACAAGAAACGGAGAAAGATCTGACAGTTTATCTGTACTAATTAAATTCGAGGAAGAGCAATTACCAAGCAAAGTATTCATCGGTTACATCAGTTACAATGTCAAAATCTACAATCCACCACCATTGAGATGTTTCAAATGTCAAAAATTCGGACACATTGCAGCAGTTTGTAAAGGGAAACAGAGGTGTGGAAGGTGTGCAGGAGAACATGAATATGGTAAATGTGGAAAAGAAGCTAAAATAAAATGCTGTAATTGTGGTGGAGAACATACTGCTGCTTATCGCGGCTGTGAAGCAAGCAAAAGGTCTGAAGAAATAAAAAAAATGAAATTTGAGCTTGGAATAACTTATGCTGAAGCTGCAAAAAGGATCCCATCTCAGTCAGAAAAACCCAAACCTACAGTTCAACACACGGCAAATTTCAAACCTCTAGAGAAATCTCCAAAAATTGATGAAGACTCACTAATTGTTAAAAAGACAAATTTTGTTCTTTTCATGGTGGAAGTGATTAATTGTACTGCTCAGACGACAAAAAAAACAGAAAAAATCAAAATAATAGTGAAGGCTGCAGAAAAATATCTGGATGTTAAAGATATGAACTGGGAGATGGTTGGAAGCATGATGGAAAGACCAATGGGACCATCAGAAACTGGCAGAGGTACGATGACCTAGAGTAAATTAAAATTATACGGGCAAATGTAATTTAGTATAATTTAGTATTATGTGGGTTTAAGTTACACAGGTTATTTTATTGTATTTTTTTTTTTTTTTTTTTTTTTTTTTTTTTTTTGGGGGGGGTGAATCGTTTCCTGTTTCCTTGCTTTACTCCATATCAGTTGGTGGCGGTAATGCACATTTCACAAGTTTGCCAACCGCCATAAAATCTCATAAGAAGAAGAAGACTAGCTCACGCCCACATCCACTCATCCAGCGAAGTCTATTGGTCTGGATGGGCGCGCGCGCTGATTGCGCGTTCCCTATGACTGGTGCGCTGCACGCGGCCAGCTGCGGAGGACAGCGGAGCTGCGCTGCGGTGATCTCCCCCGCAACACCTCGCTTCTCTACAGACAAGGTACAGCATATCCTACCGTACGTTAGACCTAAAATCTGCAGTTGATCTGACTCTAAAACGTAAAACATGCACGCGGGTTTGTAGAATGAATCCAGAGGAAAAAGCGCGCAGACACGCGCTCTGTTGCTGCGGTGACAAACAGACTGACGGTGATTTTTGCCTGACACCGCGTGTGGTTGTCGCTTTAGCAACGGAGATGCCTCGGTTAAAAATGCGGTGTTAATTCCTGCGCTCTGTAAGCAGCCGCCTTTTTATTCATTTGTGATTATAATGAGAGAACGCGCCTCTCTGTGCAGGTGTTCACCTAAATTAGTAATCAATGGAATAATGTTTATGGCTGACAGCTCTGCCTCAAGCTGAGTTGGCGTACGCGTCGTGACGCAAAACTAAATAATATCCATAATATGTAGTGGAATATTGGTCTGGCATGGTATGCCCGAACGTTATTATTTAGAGACAGAAATCTGCATTGTGTGAAACCCCAGAAGTCCAAAAATTTATCTGATCTCAAAATTATATTTCCATGCCATTATTAAAGTAAATTCTTTGATAAAAATAATAAAGAAAGCCTCCCCCATCTAAATGGACATCTAAAAGTACCACAAATAAATAAATCATTGTATAATCAGGTAACACCAAGCTGATTTCATAAGCACTGCTAGACCATAGAATAAAGTAAACAAAAAAAATATATAGTAAACTTGTAATTTGTTTATATTTATTTTTTCCAGTTATGGCAAATTTAGATAATTATCTGATTTATTTTTATTTATTTTTTTTTATGTCACCTTTTGTACTCCATAAGTGTTGCCCAGTTAAGGTCATACAAACATAAGCAGAGTGTCTGCAGGTGTACCTTCACGTTGGGGTCGAAGTTGACAGGAGGCCATTGCGGTTTGCTTTGAACACAGTTTCTGTAGTCTGCAACCTGACCCCGCTGACTCAGCTCCCATACAAGAAGATAATCCGACACCGAGACAAGCCAAGACAATTTTTCTTAAGAATGCAAACACACATACTTGTCCAAAAAAAAAATATCTGCTTTGCAACCACCAAAGTAATGCAATTATTTCCTGATAGGATGACTTTCTAAAAGTGGGTGTGGCTGATTCTGAGATAATATAAGACACCGTGAACTTTAGAGAAATCTGCTTTGCTTTTTTAGGCAATAATCCCTTCTTTGTATTAGAAACTCGTAAGACTTGTTTTCAGGATCCGAGGCCGTATGACTGTTTAAAGAGAGACATTTTGTGTCTTTGCAGAGAGATTGGCTGAAGCAGTTTTGGCGATGACACAGTGGAGTCAATGCAGTTCTTCAAGTCATCTCTGGAAAACTAGCAAGAAAGGATAAAGCAATTGGAAAAAAGACAGACGTACAGAAACCTAGATAGACAACTAACAGAAGATGGAGCTTTGCAATACGCTTGGGGATGTACCGAGGTTCGGCGGCCTTTTACCAGTGGGGCACCAGGATTCATAGAATATTCACACAACGCCTCTAAACAGGAAATGGCTTAAACATTCTGAGATGTAGTGAAAAGGGGTCTTTGTCATATGAAGGTTTACAAAAAGCGCAGCTCGGTTGAATTGGGAGATCCCTTGTGGAGTTCAGACTCAGTGCATCCTGTCTGCGGATTTTACTTTTAGTGTCAGTGTGGTATTTTCATCTGTCACTGACTGAAAATGGGCTTTTTTCTCTCTTACCATAAAATAATAATCTAGAACTTTGACAATATGTCAAACGTTAAAGAGAAAACGCCTGTCGGAGGAGGATGTGCCAGAGATGTGATTTCAAAAACTGTAACGGTGTGCTGCAGGCAAAAAGTCCCTTCCTGCCATGTCTTCATCCTCCTCCTCCTGCTTCTCTTCTCACTGGGTGCATCTCATATGGAGTTTATAGAAAGCCACAGTGAATTCAGCTGTGAGCCCATCAGACTGAGAATGTGCCAGGATCTGCCTTACAACACAACATTTATGCCCAATCTCCTGAACCATTATGACCAGCAAACAGCTGCTCTGGCCATGGAGGTAGGTGTTCTTTTTCTCATTCATCTTAAAGGTGATTCATGTATATGAAAGGCGGGTCCTACTGTGAATTACATTTTCTTTATGAAGCAAGGGTAGTTGCAGGGCTTGGAAATGGCGCCTATAGAGTTTCATCCTAACATATGAACCTGCTGAGGTCTGAAGGATTTTTTTCAAATAGCCTGAAGTGACAGAGCCTGATACAACTCTGATATAAATGCATCTGGAATTATCGCATGCTAAGGAAAATTAGGTTAGGATGTAGAGCAGTATGTTCAGACTAAGATACATCTCTCAGGTGACAGGTCTATCCATCAATCAATATTCGGTTTGTCCAAAATCTTTTGTAATCATTTCCTTTTTAGGAAAAAATTTAATGTTTGCTTTTAAAAAAAAATGAACACAGGGAAAATAAAACACCCTTTTTTAAGTCTATGCTCATAACCTAACAAAATAATGACCTTTATTATCAAAGCATACAGGCATGGTTAGCTCAGAAACCAACATGAGACCTTCTTGCTTTCAGCAAATGTTACCTTAGAGCCTTTAATCTGTGAGCTGCAGGATACACAAAGCTGCAGGCATGAAAATTGAGGATTTAAATGAAGCAGGGAAAGCACAAAGAGCTGTGCTTCATCTTTCTTCCTCATGTTACAGATTCATCTTGCCACATGTAGCTTCTTTCTGTAGATGCAGATGAATGTCTAGGTACTCATCCAGTCATTCCTGACCTTTTAGTCTTTTAATATGAGCACTAGCTGACAGACAAAGTTGTATCTGATCAGCAGCAAGGGATGAAAAATGGTCTAAATGAGGTGTGTGTGTGTGTGATTGAAAGCTGATGAGGAATTCCTTTATGTGCAGACATGGTTTGTAGCAGCGAGGGGAAGAAGTGCCGTGTTACACTCTGTGCAATAGAAGACACACGCTATACATGATTATCACGTTACCTCTCTTTCATAGTCCATTGTTACTTGCGGGGGAACGTAAAAGGCCGCAGAGCGAGGTGTCGTTCAGTAACTATGCTGTAATTACTTGTTTTTTGTCTGGATCAAAGTGAATTTTATGCTACAGTGTGTAAAATCTGGGTATTTTCTGTTGCATTAATTTAACCGAAGACCTCTTTTTATTACTCCAGCTTTAACCCAAGCAATCATCATAAATAAACTCACATTTTTAACACTAAAAGATTTATTTTGGTTTTTTGATGAGGCACAAAATAATCTGACCTTCCAAATTTGACCGAAGTTGTGACCTTTACGTGGCGTTGCATTTGAGTTCAAATGTCCAAAAAGAATAACGGATGCATACATTTGAAATAAATCTCCTTCCAGTTGTTCATAGTTGGTATATTAAATTACTCTTTTTGAAAAGCAGGGGAATTTGAACAAAGCATGTATTTGCTGGCTGCATGCTTAATCTTGAGGGATTTTTATTTTTGTTTTTATGCTTAGCAAGCACTTTCCCATGTCAGAACCAGCTGCATGTCACCCAGAGGATTTAAATTCTCTCTCATATCCCAAAAGAAAACCATTTTTTTCTTTCATGACAAAAGCTGGTTTTATTAAGGGCCTGTGGCAAAGTTAATCCTTTATTTGATAATTAAGGAGAAAAATTATGACGGCGTTCATGATGGTCATGGTTGCAACTATAATGAAGGTCATTAATCAGCACATGAAGGACCGTGCAACTGTTGAGTCATGTCAACTCTCTTCTGTCATGTCAAAACACGCTTCCTCAAAGACTCCAGAACCATCTGTTGCTGAACTTGATTTGACCCAGTTGAAGTTTGATCCAGGTAACAGACACTCGCAGTCGCTTCAGTAAAATCTGAAGATGGCTGAGAAGCAACATGAGCCGTATTATTTTTCCTACTCTGCTGTGCAGTGTCCAGGCTGTGCTGTCCTGGTGGAAACCCTGGAGGAAATTTAATAAACCCTCAGTAGAAAAAATGGGCTGCATAATGCCAGCCTGTGTGTGTTTTTGTCTAAGGAAATGTGCAGTTTCTACAAAATCGAGACCCCAAACCATCTCCATCATCAGTGGAGTCTAACTGTTTTTCTTCTTAGATTTTTTTCAGAACCTTGTTCTGTTTAGATTTCTTTTAAATTATTGTTTTGGTTCTGATCACGCTTTAGTTTTGATTATGCCTTAAAATGCTCTTATTTGACACACATAGAAATATCTCTTTCTGACTGATTAATGAAAGCACTCAAATATGCTTTTTTTTTATTTGCTTACATAATCAGAATTTAATCTGATTAAGGAGCAAAATCCTAGAATTTGTAGTTGGTTGTATATGTAAATTGTTTCACTAACCCCTTATAAATTCTACATTCACAACAACCATGCATAAAAAACCTTCTCTTTTTATAGATAAAATGATTTGTTCTTCATGTTTATTTAAGTTTACCCTACCAGAATGCTGGGTTTTGTGTGCGAATAGAACATATATATGGGACTGTAAAACCAAAGCAATCACTTTACCACTGCGCTTAGAAAGTGTATAAAGAATGCATTAGAAAATCCCTTTATTGTCCCACAATGGGGAAATTCTGGTGTTTACAGCAGCAAAAAGATTATAGAAAAAGTGAAGAAAAGTGAAGAGTTAAAAGATAACTCTCAGAAAGTATGTAAAGGCAATCTACCCTATATAATTACTAATAGAAGCTTGTGGTTTAAATCCCCAGTTTTATCATGACATATTAAATTTATTTGTTTGGATTACAATGTTTCTGGTAGGGCTGAAACAACTAATCGTGATTAATCGACTATTGAAATAATTGTTAACTAATTTAGTAATCAATTAATTGTCACATACAGTATAGAGACTGTAAAATATGCCTTTAGCTGACAGAGCAACCCACTTAGAGCAGAATTAAATAAAAATTGTAATAAAAATATATAGAAATTAAGATAAAAAAAAAAAAAAATATATATATATATATATATATATATATATATATATAATTAATATGTTCTATCCAGAATTCTTGAAGTGGAAACTTTAGTTTCCCCTGGTTTAATTTTGTAAAATATTTCTTTTTTAAGGAATCCTTTAGCTATCCAAATATTAATCGATTACTTAAAAAAATAATCAACAGATAAATTGATTTGCAATAAAATTGTTAATTGCAGCCCTAGTTTCTGGTAAAGTCTGTCTTGATATTGATGGAATTCAAATGAAATGAATGAAATTCAAAAGGAAATTTGCTATGAATATGATTCTATATCCTATCCAGTCTAATGCAATTAGTAACATAAACATTATTTAGGCGCACCCCCCATGTATGGGGGCCTCAGTATTGAATGCAGCCGTCATGAGTTTGAATCCTGGTCTGCTAACCTTCCCACTCTATAACACCATTAATATCTTCTTACTTCCATGTATAATAAAATAAAGTCCACTAGTGCATACATACTTAAAATATAAAAATAGATAAGCTGTTCATATTCTGAAACCGTACGTCTGGAGCTAGGGTATTCTAAAGATAGCAATGTGGAACAATATTTTGAGTTTTTCGGGGTGTTTTTTTTTTTTTTTTTTTTTTTTTTTTGCATCAACAAATGAAACCAATCAATTGAATCACATCATATTAATATGGATCGTCTCCCTAGCAAAAGTTCTGTGTGGTTTTTCTGTTATATTACCATCAGTTCTGAAGAGTTTTTCAGCAGTAACTTTAAAAAAATAGATGACATGAGGAGAAAAAAAAATGGAAAAATACAGAAGCATCATGTATCATGATGCTACACTTATTAAACTGAACAGACTTGTTTATAAGAAAAGAATTTATCTTCAAGTGGACATAAAAAAAAAAGCCTTTTTTCCCTCTAACAGGACATTGGTGGATAACCTGAAAGGATGTTTTTGTGAGCAAGGTGGCATAAAAACAAAACTTTCCTCAAAACATCATTTTTTAAGTCAGTTGCAAAAAAAAAAATACCAAGAAAATGCATATAAATCTATGCAACTGAACAAAGGAAGAAAGGCATATATTTTCATGCATTAAAAACCCCAAATACTATTAGTTATGCTAACTATTATTAAAAAAGGAAATAGAATGATTTAATGTTGGAAACTGAATGGAAACTTTATATCTTGTCTTTTTTTTCCTGGTCAAAATCGGTCTGTCATCTCTGTAAATTTAAAACGTTGCCGTCTGTTTAGAAAAAAAGTTTCCTGCACTCTTTTAGCTTGGCAAAACTTTATTTAGTTTTATGTATATTTACCACAGACTTTATCCTTTGTTGCTTCTTCCACAAGCAGTTATCGGTTGAATAAAGGTTTTTATGGTTGCTTTGTAGAGAATTCAGTAAAGGATGTTACTCACGTGATAAAGCAGGTACCTAAAGACTCTACAAGCTCATTCATATTTTCTGACCAGTTATCGTTGTAGTCATATTGTAGCCATATATATATATATATACATAGACAAACACACAGTCAGGCCTTGTGGGAGAAGCATTGAATAGAAATGAGCCAAGAAACTCAAAACATTTACCAAATAAGTGTCATTTTTATTTTTTATTTTAACTGCTTTTATTGAGATGTTTTGTGAGAAACTTCTAAGAAAACCTAAGTCCTAAATCTGTTAAATCATTGTAAAGTGCTGGAGATGTAATGACGCTCTTGCAGTCCGTTTTTAGGCGATATAAGAGTGGTTGCTCTGCTTTAGCGACTGTCATGGAGATCATTCTTGGCAGCTGTTGTTTATGTTATTGACTTAATCAAACAGATCTTTTCTTCTTTTATGGGTTATTGTGAATTTGCTGAGCCCTTCATTTTTTTCAGTAGAGATTGAACCTTTTCACTTCATACTGTTTTTATAGCATTTACTGCTAAAGGAAAACAATCTGTAGAAGGCTAAGATTACCAAATTAAGTTGGATCTATTTAATGTAAATGCTACAAGCTCCAGAAATACCACTGTCCCCCTGTTTTTTAATTGCTTATCCAGGGTTAAAACACTTCCTCTGTATGTTAGTTTCTAGGCAGGATTA